AAAGGAGGCAAAGAAGAAAATACTATCTATCAGAATTTCACTACTACTCAGATTATTTCTCTCAATCAAAAGGTTTAACATTACTGATCAATTCAAAAGTGTGCCATTAAAGTATTGGGACAACTTTCTGTTAGCAGCCTTTGAGTAGATGTATTTCCATTGCAAAATCTTCCCACGATTTCCACTGATCTCCCACTCATCCACTGCGACAAAATGCCAACTCTGTGAGCTTGTCACTGAGTTAGAAAGTGTAGTGAGAATCGCCCAAAGAAACACCATGGATAAGATTATGTGCGTTCGAACAGGCACCTCACTTAGATAGAAGGATCTAGTGTTCATATACAAACGCCAAGTTGATGGCTTGATTCTGTTCAGCAATCTTTAATCCTACTTACTATTGTATGGGTTACATTACCAGATAATCCTCTGTCATACTTGTACAAAAATCGCACGTTTTTGCTTCATGAGTTCAAAACTGGATACAGAACAAGGACAGTAACTCGAAATGTCATAAGAATATAAACCTAGGAAAAAACATTTAGAGTGGGCTGTGCAAAAATGGTTCTTCAGGTTCCGTATTCGCGAGATGAGTCTTTACAACGCAGAACGTTGTGTATGCCTATCAGCAGTCGACGACGACCATCAGGAGCTCGACTCATTCTTCAAGGAATTTCATGGCTACTTTGCTGTAATTTGCCATTCTGTTTAGCTGAATAGTGTCTCATGAGCGAGGCAGATTCCAGACATCACTTTCGTATCGGTCAAAGGATAACAAAGGATAATCCTCTTGGTGTTGATCAATACCTGAAGAACGCGCCATGCATTCGACTTCACTAAGTATCGTTTGAGGTGACTGAATGCACATATGGCCTTTACAATTACTCGCGGTGGCCTACCGATGCATCGAGCCAGTGCTGCTATCCTCGCAAACAAGTCTGGTACCAATCAGCCGACTCCGGATGGGCTTGGTGAGCCTTCGGCTTGCGGATTGATCGCATGTGTACGGGAAGGCGCCTCCAACCACTGCGCTACACGCGCCAATATAACATACAAAAGTGAAGATTATTAGAGCATAGTTTATATTCCGCATCGGAAAATTCTTTTGCTATACACCTGATCATGAAACATACTTAGATAACATCGACATTTCGCTTTTTCTTAAAGATAACAGCTAATGAGAACATATACGTACTTCCTACAAGGAAACCCACTGTAATAATCAATACGAATTAACGATTTGTGGACAGTAACCTAATGATGTAACGAAAGCTAAAGCGGCAGTTTTCGCTTGAAAAAACTCTTTGGTTGTACGAAAGAGGATTATATGCAAGGTGTGTGGACCACCGTTACAAATAAAGATAAAGTACTCGTCATCAGATTGAAACAGTAATTACACTCCTAAGTTGAACGATGGAAAGAAAAAAAACGAAAAGTAGTACAGATTAGACCACAAAAAATCATGAGATAATGTCAGTCGTTTACGAAAAACTATACAGACAGCTCTTGCTTAAGTGAAACACAAACTAATCCAATCATACACTACTGTACAATACAATAGAACCCATTTCGATGCACATTAGAAACGAGGATATATAGCTAGCCAGTGTTTGCTATAACGCTAGCTCTTTAAAGCTATCATTATTAACTGCGAACGATGACGATGCAGCACCAGCCTTCACCCGCTAGTACCGGAATAGATCGCGATCCTGTGGCTGATGATGGGCATACTGGTTCATGTGTTGTTGCTGCACTTCGTGGTGCCGCTAAAACATAACATCCACGAAAAATCAGAAAAATCAAGGATTCGAAGATGTCAGAGGAGTCCGGGTCTCGTTGTACAACGAATGAACTCCAATCGTGAGAGCCATCGTTTTCACCCTTACTTACCTCATTTCTACTCCGTGAAAACCCATTTCTTGGCCCCAGCCCAGAGTTTTCCAAAACAGTAGTGCAAGGCGAACTATATATGAGTGCCCGATCGCCACAAAGCATAAGTTGTGCGGAACAAATATCTTGCAGAAGTTATAATTCCTCAAGATCACAGATTTCATTGGGAAGCTCTAGAAGTATGGAAACCAGTGGGAAATTTTAACAATTCGCGCCACTACTCGACGATTACTGGTACTGCAGGTGATAGATATAGCACATGTCGGACACCTACCCATTTTCGCCTTCGCCTGTCAAAGGCAAACGCGATGTATAAAATTTTTGCACTAATGCCTGCACCTTTGCCATCATACTCAATCACATTTATAGGTATTCCGCAATATGGCTAATCATAACTAGCTTTCTGAGATTCCAGAAAAGCATATATGCGATTTATTTCTTCCTTCTCTGATTTCCTCTACTACCTGAATTTTCACCTGTGATAATTGCCGATAATTTTCCAGTAACCAGGGTACTTGAAAAGTTTTGAATTTCGAGTAGAACTGCAAATGGAGTTAAAATTTTAGAACTCCAAACGTAACTGCAAACATCATTGTGATCCATCATCGCATCCTATTTGACAAAATTTCCCACTTGAATTAGTCTTCGCAGTTGAAGAGACAAGAATTGTTTTCAGAAAAGTATGCCCAATAGGAAAGACGCTAACTTACTGGCAAAATTCTTCATACTCTAAATGTTCTGATCCAAATTAGTACAAATTAGTGAAAGCTCGGACGTTTTCTTCCAAATTGTACGGTACTTTGCATGTTACTTTGTACCAGGCAGTTATTTCTTTACATGATCTAATTTCATATATTGTGCTGACTTCAGCACTCCTTTCATTCCATTCGTCCTTCTCACCCCTCATTCTCAACGTCTTCAAATTTTTCACGTGGAATTTGGCTGAAATTTGATGATTTCGTCTCTTCTACACACTTGATCGAATTCAGATCGAGTCGATTCTCACATAGTTCTGAGAAATTTCTATTAGACCGCTCCCAGACAATAACTGGAGGCAGTTAACGAACTGTTCCAAGACAAGTGTGGTAATACTTTGCCGATTCCATTGGAAAGAAATGTTTGGTTGAACAAGAATAGGACCAAACAAACGACCAAGTAGTCCATAGACCCTCAAATAGTCCAGTGATCAGGAGACTATCGACAACTAACGAAAATAAGCAATGCAACAGCGTGTTAAAACATGTATTCCCACCACTTAACTGTCATGTGATTTCGTGATCTTTTTTCATCTTTGCGAAAAATTCTTTTGCCCATCATCTATGATCTCAATATACAAGAGATGCGTTACATAGAACAATCTCCTGAGGTTTTTATTATCTAGAAAAGACCACCTACCGCATCATTCTGGTACGCTGACTGCTGTTGCAACATTGGGAACGTACGGTGGTCCTGGTTCTGCATGGTGAACTGCTGCTGTTGTTGCTGTTGTTGTTGCCTCTGTAGCGCCAACTGCTGGTGTTGGTGTTGGAGCATGTACATTTCTCGCACTCGTTGCTGCTGTAGCATTAGACGCTGCTGTTCTGTCAATTGCTGCTGACACGTCTGGTTTTGATACTGTCCAGGCTAAAAGGCAATCTTTTTAACTTCAGTGATGCCGAGATATTTGCAAAACTCCGGACCGCAGGTGTCTACGGTGGAGAACGAACGCGCTGTTGTCCTTTCCGGGGAATAACGCGCTCACTAGCACAGCATGAGGGACTTTCGTTTCGCCTGTCTCTCAGCTAGTTGTCTAGCAATCTTTTTATATTTCATCACAATGGAAACATTAGGAATGAAATGATATGGCTACCATGACACAAGCGAATAGATGGAAACACATGAATAGTGATAAAGCAACGCATAACCCGCCTATCACGTGAATTAACACTAACGTCGCGACGTAACCTCTAAAGGAAATGAACAAACGTGATTTCGCCTAGCAAGACATGAATGATGCTCGCTAGTGTACTGTATACATTTGCTGCTGCCACTCTTCAGTAGGGAATTTTAGAAATTTTACGTATCTTAGTTTCGCTGCCAAATTTTTTTTTACGAAAGCTCCAACTCTAAACATATTCAAGTTCGGAAAAAAACCTGGCCGAAAAAAATTATATGTATGTGACTAATGTGGTAAAGCAAAGTCTCCTCTAAAGGATAGAAAGGATAAAGCTCTCGGCGTTGATCAATTCCTGGGGTGCGCCATGCATTCGACTTCATCAAGTGGCCTTAACAATGACTCGTGGTGGTCTACTGATGTATCGAGCCAATGCTGCTATCCTTCCAGACAAGTCTGGTTGCGATTTGCCGACTTCGGAGTGATGGAAGGCTTGGTGGGCCATGGAGACGGGGATCGACTTCACGTGTGTGCTGCAGGGCATCTCCAACCATTGCATCACATGCGCCCTAAGTCTCCTCTAAAATGTACAAAATTCTGATTGTTGAAAAATTAGTTTCGTCACTGAAGAGCAAAAGCAACCTCTTATACCATCACAAACTTGGTCGACTCCTTCGCATGTTTGCACTTACATCTGAGCAGTTCGAGAAATCACGTAATTAACCACATATACAGCTACTAGTAACTTGAGAACCGCGCGTCTAGCGCAGTGGTGGAAAGCGCCTTGTAATACAAATGGGCTCGATCTCCGCGCTCCAGACTCACAAAGCCCTCCATACCTCCCGTGTCGGAAAATTGATACCAGACATATCTTGGGGGATAGCAACACTAGCTCGATACATCAGTAGGCCGCCGCGAGTCTTTGTAAAGGCCAGGTATGCATTCAGTCACCACCAACGACACCTAATGAAGTCAAATGCATAGCGCATCCCTATAGGATTGATCGATGCCGACAGCTTAATCTTTTTTTAAGTAACTGAAACACTACTGGGCTAACCCTATTGCCTATAGTATAGTCTTAATATTCACGTCAGGTATATCTCAAAGCATCAAACGTTAGGAGACCATCTCGTAATAAAAACTAGGGCCAATAATTCAAAAATTCCCGCCTTGACTGTCCAATGCATGTGTTTACATAGAGAAATGTCTAGATAATTGAACAAACATACAACACAAGCAGACTGCTGCTGTTGCTCCAGCTGTATTTGTTGGTGCTGCAACGACTGACGATGCTGCTGTGACTGCTGGGATTGGCGCTGAACTTGCATGGAGTGCTCTGTCATCGACCGATGTGGCAGTGTTGATTGAGGTGGTTGTCGCATAGATTGATTCAACGATATTGACTGTTGCACATGTGGTTGACGATGCACAGGTTGGTTTTGCATGTGAGATTGTTGTTCCCGCTGCTGTTGTTGCTGCTGCTGCTGCTGAAGGCGCTGATGTTGCTGTTGTTGGTTTTGGTGTTGTTGCTGTTGCTGGTGGTGGAGTTGCTGCTGTCTCTGATATTGCTGCATCCCAAAACCGTAACTATTTTGATGAGACGATTCATGTGATTGCGATTGCATGAAAGACGGCCCTTTCTAAATGAAATGCATGAATACACTTAACTTCATCTCACTGTCATTGATCCACTTAATAAAAAAAACAACTGTTATCCACCTGATTGAAAGCGGTGGGAGACAGATGTTGACTAGACGGTTGTGAATACTGAACTGCTTGCACTGAAGGATTCCGATTTACTCTGGAATGGAGTCAAATGATGCAGTTAAGATAAGCAACAGTTAGGTTTGTAACCAACTGTGTTCCCTTTTTAACAAAAACCTACGCAGTGTTTTGCTGCCCAGAGGATAAAGGGGATTGCACTGGCTGATATTGTTGAGGGGACTGCACCACCTAAAAGTATTTCCCAGAGATAAAATGGAATGATGTGTAACAAGGATGAGAATGTTTAGATACAAAAAAGAGCTCTTAGACGTGTTCGCAGAGACTGGAGCGAATCCTTACCTGTTGCTGATGAACAACAGGACTTCTCTGGGGTGGTGTCATGGACATCATATATTGAGGCGACATCGTTGTACCACAACTACCACCGTGGCTACTCTAAACCATAGAGGTTTTACGAAACAAATACACACAAATACAGAAAACGTTAAGCATATAGTCATGGAGAGCTCTCACAGGTAATCCATAGCCGCTAGAATTTGCATACTGAGGACTGGAATGGATCACAGACGGAACAGGACTGCGGACCAAATTCGATTGTTGTGAGACCGAGTACCCAACTGAAGTGGTATCTGGAACATAAGAGTGTTCCGAATGAAGATTAGACTCGATACTACGTAAGTGCGGCACATGGTGTGAGAGTATACACTGATGGCTAGTTAAAAGGTCATAAAGTCACTTCTTAAATATATTTTTGTTTCTGTGAGGATGAGTTGCAAGTCAGCGCTTTTAAACGAAAACGTGAGGCAGCCTTGAGTCAGCTGGTAATTAACTGTGCACATTACAGGAAGTAAGTGGTATACAACGATGATCACATCTTTACGAATTTTTTTGTCGCTCAAACTACGCAAGGCCACCATCTAACTATGCGCAGAAAATCTGTTTGCAAATAGTGCGAAAAATGTTTCAATAAGGATTACCCTACATGAACTCCTCAGATTTTACCGCACTCTGCACAGAATATGTGTGGCGCAGTGGCCGGAAGGGCCTTGGAATACACATGGGAACGATCAAGGCACCCCAAGATCACCAAGCCTTCCACTCTTCTGGGGTTGTCAAATTGGTATCAGACTTGTTCCGGATAATATCAGCACTGGCCCAATACATCAGTGGGCCACTGCGAGTCATTGTAAAGGCCAGATATGCATTCAGTCACCTCCAACGATGTTTAGTGAAGTCGAATGCATGGCGCATCGCTCAAAGATTGATCAACGCCGAGAGCTATGTCATTTATTCTTTATCCTGTAGATAATGGATTTCTCAACAGCAGCTGATAATTTTGCGATAACTAAGACAAGTTGATGAGTTGAAGAATCATAAACAAAAGATTCTGCTCTGTCGCTTTTAAACAATATACATTCCTCGCAAATATTATTGTAATTCCAATTATGTTTGGCCATAAAAATTTTCGAAGGAAATGAGGAAATACAAACTCTTAAAGCTTTTTTTAAAATGCAAGCTTAGCACTAGACAACGTCAACGATGCATTCAGAGACTTCCTCATAGACAGAGCCCTCTCTTGTCCAATCGCTTTGCTGTTAAAAACACGAGCCTCGACGAAAACAAGAAGAAAAACAATTATTGGGGACTCTGAAAACATCAGAATTTCAACGCGATAGCACAATAAAACTTCTTCTTGCAGAAGATCTATGGATGCCTAAAAGTTTCTACTTTCGCTGAAAAACTCCACTTTCGTTCGTTCGTTGAATTTTATTGAGCGAGTGAGATTATTTTCGGGCTCCTCCGCATTGAAATCAAGGCGTACCATATTGAATAATTTCGGTAAAATAGAGTACAGCACCGGTCTAAAAACTGATTGAAACAACCATTTTTAAACCTTTTAAACCTTACTTTGTTGTTTCGGTGTGACCATAGGTTGCGGTTTCTTCTCAGCAGTAGCGTTCATAGAAATATTGTGAGAGACTGTGGTTGTAGTCGTATTGCTAGCCGGAGTGGAATGCATTCGTTGAGTTTGGGCTGCAAGGTTAGCTGCCCGTACTGCAGCTACCTGTTCCTCCTGTTTCTTCAATCGCTTTGATTCAGCCTGTTCTTCCTCCTGCAACACAAGGATCTTCGAACAACTGAAGGATTCTTGAAGATGTGACCAACCGCGAAAACCAGGATGAATATTTGCCACATCAATAATAATTGAATATAAAAAACCCATATTATTTCGGTCAAATAAAAATCTATCGATAGCGTTGCCACTAACTTGAATGTTGATTTAAAAATGGAGAAAAGCAGCCAGGAACTCCGTGAGACGACGAGAAGCATATATTCTCAAAATGTTGTTTCCATATTTCTGATTGGGTTAAACGCTGTGCACAATTACATTTAGCTGTCATAATTCGGTAATGAGCCAAAAGTATACTGTTATTCAACTAGTTCTTTTCTTCTACACCTAATTACGTTAAATCAGATTTGTTACGGGTATATGTCAACACATAACGCACGATATGGACGTATATGACCATACGTGGCTCCATGAACGGGTGTTCCGATCTCCATATGAGTCATTCTTTTTTTCATTGTTAATTTTAACGCACGGAATCCTTTTTCAGCACTTCTTATAAACAATCCACTTCCGAATAGCAGAGAGCAAACTGTTTGTACAATAGGTATAACAAGGTATTGTGAGTAGGAGCATACATATCACTTATTCACATAGGACCAGAGAGCAAGGTCTCTTCCACAATCCTGTAATGTTCATAACTCCTCAAGTCCTCTAGTTATCAAAAAATCTTCGTTTGTCATCAAAAGTCAGAATGTCCATTACAGGGTGGAAATTAAGGGTCGTCCAACGCGGAAGTGCCGCTAAACCCCACGCGTCCATTATGTGTTCAAGCTACTAGTCTATAGACTCCAGTTCGTCTATGTCAATAACTAATTTCTATTGTTAATATGTTGGCGATGGGATGAGTCACAGATCATCAAATGTTACCGGGTAAACTGATCCCGGTGGGGCATAAACGATGCATATTTTTTTCCACCGTCTATTTTGCAGAACTTTTTGGTAATATTCAACATTAATTAATCTCAGTTACCCAAATTTGATGTAGCAATCGTGTCAAGGGTATGTCGAAATCGGCTTTGCCGTATCGCTGCTCTGTTCCGTTGTGGCCGAAGCGTAGCAACTCAGGCGCGCATGAAGAGATGGCGAAGCTGGCAAAAAAACGGTCTTCTTCCTCATAGAGAGATGTTGTTCTTAGGGATTCACACGGACTCGCTCAAGTGCGCCGTGTCACCGGAAACAGAACCTTCAGAATTCTCAAAGCTAAGGCCATGGCACCTGTGATTCCCGAGGATCTTTACCATGTTAATATTCAATGGTTTATCCAGCACAGATGGAGTGGTGGAGATGCCATGCATATCACTATAGCGAACATGCAAAGCCTCTACAATTCCGTGATGCTCTCAACCTCTAGACTTTTTCTTATCGAAAGTTATCGTCTATTGCCAAAAAACCAACAAATCCGTAATGATATGAAATTGAAATTCGTGCGATGGACCTGTTATTAGGCGTGGGCACCGACAGGATAATAAAAAAGGTAGACAAGTACTACAACTTTGCGCTATTTGACGTCTTCACTGTCTTCAATAACACTTTTAGGAGCGCAGCGTAGAAGGAATGAAGACATGAATAACATGATCTCATGCGCAATAGGAAACGAATCATACACATGTTTAGACGTGCAATATAGTTAATGGAAATCAAGGTGTAGCTCACTAATTTATAGGATCGAACAATTGAGCACTATTGCGTCAGGTGAAAATCCGTATCGACATGAATTCCTTTCGTTTGAAATATTCACCTTAAACGCCAACATGAGATCAGGTGCAACATCACTTTGAGAAACCTCTTCCATGCGGATTTCCTGCTCCAGCAACTGGGCGGCTTTCCTCTCTTCCTGCATTTTTTTGGATCACAAAAAGCAATACAGCAAAAATACTGAAGACAAAACTAGCATGCGAACACTGGGACTTTCGAGAATGAATGTGGAGGCAAACTGACTACCTCACGAAGTTCAGCTTGTCGTCGTTTTTCCAACTCCTGGGCTCTCTCTTGTTCCTGAAAGAGGTGACAAAACTTCACATGCATAGGCATTCGATACAGAGAACATTAATACTTAACATGCTAACACGTAACAAGGATGCTATCATCGAAGACATTTATAGAGCAGCGTTCAAACAACTCTTAACTTGATTAGAGGTCAGAACACAAGTATCAAACCGACTTTTCAAACTCAGACTGACAGTGTGGTACTTAAGCGAGCTTACAAGGCATACGTACAAAAAAAAAAAAAGAAAACCGCACAAAACCTACAATTTTTATACGAGTCTGTTCAAGCCGTTGACGTTCCTCCTCTTCCTTCTTTTGTTTTTCAGCAGCCTAAACTCTAATACTGTAATAAAAACTATGGAAAGAATATATTTAAAAAATCCATTGTTTACAAATTTAGTGATAACCCACAAAGATGAACGAACAACCAACCTCTTTTGCAAGCTTCTCCCTTTCTTCCCTCATAAGTCGTTCCCTTTCGGCCTGCTCCTCAAGACGTTTCTCACGCTCCTCCTAAATTTGAAAGCAAACGTTAAAAATTAAAGATAAGTACAAATTCTAAGACTTCATCTTTACTACGACTAAGAAAACTTATTAATTGATGAAAAGATTATGTCCGACCTTCTCTTTCCGGGCTTTCTCGGCTAGTTTTTGACGCTTTTCCTCCTCTAAGCGCAAACGTTTCTCTTCTATCGCTTTCTCCTTAGCAGACGCTGCCAAAACTCTCTTTTGAGCATTCTAAACATTAGTGTGCCAACTGTTAAACCTCTGCTTAGCGAAAATGCTGCTATCATAAATGCGTAACGAACCAGTTCCTCTCTTCTTTCATCTTTTACTCGCTTTCTCTCTTCCTTTTCTTGCTCCATCGTTTTCTTCTGCGAACATGGAACGAAATAATGAATAAAGCAATAAAGAAAACTATAAAATACTCTACGTACCTTATCGTCTCCGTCTTTCTTTTTTCCCGCACCTTGTTTTTTCTTCGACATAAGCTGGTATTGCGATGCAAATTGCTAAACTTACGCTAATAAAGAAAACCTACCCACTCAACAGGAAATGCCTACAGAAAAATAAACTACTATTAAGATTCGTTTAAGAGAAATCCATCAACTAATAGGTTCAAAAATAATGACCTTTCCGAATATAAAGTCTTATGAATGGATAATGAAAAATCGTCTCTCAAGGTTTCGCGCTTGAAAGTCAAACCTTCGAGATGAAGAAATTAATGAATGTCTATCAGTAGTTCAGGACGAACACTTGAAGCCTATGTTCTTCAAAAAGTACTTGAGAGCTTCTCGAGGGACTCAACAACTATGATACCATAATCAGTCATGATTTGGAAAACGTCTGAAGGGTGAGGAAGTTCGTCAAGTGGGTACTCCCTGAATTGAATAAATTACAGCGAGATGACAGCAACGCAGAACGTTTTCGGCATCTTTTTCATAACGACTAGAACAGGATTCTGCACAGGAATGGAATACCTCAGTGGTTCGACCAAGATGGAGCCCTTCATGCTCCTCCAAAACCTAATTCATAGCAACGAGTTGGGCTACAAAACACAACCTCATCCATTACATCCATTGAGTGTCTTCCAAAAAATCCAGAACATCCAAATTGTACACTTTCGGTAAAAATAACTTTTAAGCAAAACTATGCAAATTTCAATGCTTGTCATTTTGATTAATAAAGTCGTTGTTGGGCTGAGAGTGTAACATTTCAAGGTTTCTGTTCAAATCCGGCCATTATTTTTGAACCAATCCCCTAGTTTGTGCAAACAAAAGCAACAAACCGTAAGTAGCGCTTCCTTTAGGGCCTGTAGTTTATGTGGATCAGTTGTTATTGATGTAAGATTGTGCATGGCAGAAGATAGCTTAAAAAGGATTTTCATTTTCAGAATGAATAGCTAATGACTGTTCCATTACGAATTTTAAACTGACTACCAGGTTTTTATTGTTCACATAAAAACATGAAAATATGAGCTAAATTCGGAACCACAATTGAGCTTTGAATCCGCGATTACTCTTACCAGAAGCCCACACGTGCTATTCACCACACTACCTGAGCCAATTGCTTTGCCTTTCTATCACGTTTTTTAGCTAACCCATCAGTTTCAGCTTAACTGGGTCCAATACCGATTTGTGCTCCCTAAATCATTTTTTGGTTGACAGATGATTGTTGGTAGCACAATTAAAGTAAAAACTGGGGGCAAAAAAGTCAAAGCAAGGGCTTCGGTTGATGTAGTGGACAGCAGATGAGCCCTCGGACGGTGTAATCGCGGATTCCAAGTCCAACTGAAATTCCAAATTTTGCTCACACAAATTTAATAATAGTTTCATGGTAGATTTTATAGCTCATGATAGCTACATGATCTTATAATATTGGCTTTATGAACGATCCAGAGGTTCCCTATTGTTTTGAGGACCATTCCTCCCAACGGATTATCGGCTCGTCGTGGCTTGGAGGTGTTTCTGGGTATCAGGCTATGATGTACATTGGAATGACCCACCCCCGGCAAGGTCTCCCAAACTGAGAAGTACTCCGGTGTTTCGATCAGGAAGCCCAGCTAAGAGTGAACCAATACCAGGATCCAGCACCGTCTTGGTATCAAAGTCGCATGGTGGCAAATCTCCCTCTGATCCACAAAGGCTGCGACTGCCTGTGATAGTGATGACCTGGTGTAGACTTTGGCCTGGTTGGCCTCGGGACTCCAGATAACCACGTTGGTTAAGCAAGTAAAACTCGAAAAAGAATGGAAATTATGCTGGGCCAGCACAACCAGTGAAGACAGGCCAACCAACTATCCCAGTCTATCCCAGTAAGTAGGTTTAAGGAACATTCATACTTACTTTAATTTCGATTTTAGTTTCTAATTCAATTAATCAGTCTAGAATAAAAGATGAGCAGTGGAATAATAAACAAGCATCAATAATGTCGAAAAAAAAAGCAATACGCACTTCTGGCAACTGCGCTGGTAGCAATGTCCAACCCGTTTGACTTAGCGCAGCGCTGACCTGGCTCATTGCATCAAATGATGACGGTGTCGACGCTAGAACAAGTCAGTAAGTTCAGGAAACGAGAAGAATACTTTCGAGAGAGCGTTTCGTCTGAATAACCACAACCACGCAAACATCACATTGGTGAACTTAGAAGAAATATGTGTGTAATGCGCTTTAGCCAAAAAGAGAGAAAGAATTCATTCAAGGTAGGATAGCTAACTTACAGTGATCCAAGCGCGATATACTGGATAAACTTATGAGATAAATAATAACTTGTATCAACTTTCACCCAGAAATTAATATTCTAATGCAAGAGTGGTCGAAAACAATTTGGCTTCCACTCTGAAGTAAAGTGATATGTCTTCTTTTCTCATAGTGAGCTTTCCTAACTGAAATAAAATCCATTATAATTTATATACACTAACAATAAGCCGGCGGTTAAGTTATTCTACCACGGAGAAACTTTGATTTTATTGAGTGCACAAAACGTTTGTACTTTGCTATTCTCGCCAAAGCTAGAGCATCGTAGCGACTAAACGATCACGCAACGGAAAAGTAGATTTTATCGAAGACTTCATTAATGTAGACGGTTGCAATGATTGCGTATAGAATATTTTCTCCACCTAATATGACATCACATAATGCGAATCCCAGCATTTCTTCCATCCGTTTTCTTCTTTGGTATCCACCATGCACGAACACCTTCAAATTTTCGTGTGAGCTCGACTGCTACGTGAGTATTTTTGGTCTTCTTCATTCATCCTGTTGAATGCCAGTCGTGCGTAAGTCTTCACAGCTTTATTATATGCAGGTACCGTCTCTTGTACACTGGAGGTACTGGAGGCTTATCCCAAACACTGGCACCAATTTCCCGATCACTGAGGAATGTGAGGGTCGCATGGCTCAAGGAAGAGTCGAATCAGAGTGGTACTCTTGAGCACTATCATACCGCTGTTATACAAACCTTGCTGAGCCAGTGTCTGCGCCCAGTGGAACCGTATACAGATGCATAGATAACTCTTCTTCGCGTGAGTGGATTCCAGGACTTCTTCCGCTCCATTCATGTATTCGCAATTGGCCTCAACTTGCTTGTGAGTGTAGCTCGAAGATTCCCCTTTTCTTCTATCACTGACAAGATTAGTGCTTAACGAGCGCGATTTCCTCTAGAATCACTATATAGTCATCCCCGGAGCGTTCTCAGATCTTCACTGCAAGCAGTCTCCAGTTCTTGTGGACGGCATAAAAGTTTGCTATCTTGTGGCTCAAATTTTTCTCAAACAGCAGCGATTCCGACGATAGCATCGTATCGATGGCGATTAGTCGACTAACCGACCGAGGACGACGTAACAAGCTAAGCTGATACGGTAGCAATGAGTGAAGAGTATGAATCGGTTGAGCACGATGTCACTGAATTTAGATAAACCTAGAATTGTATCTAGAAGTATCTTTCCCGTAACCGCCAATTCTTGATAGGTCAATCCATAGAAGCAGAGTTCCCAACTAGCTAGGCTATCAACTGGTCATTAATTTGTAGGTCTTAACAAACATGCCACAGTGAGAACTGTTATTAAATACATATAAGAGTCATTATGCAAAGTTAGGTGCATTTATTTGGCAAATATTATCTAAACAGAGAGATTTTCCTCTACACATATTCTTAAACTTCAACGGATGATGAGAGCGTGTAGATAGACGTAGAGTGGAATGAACAAAAGGATAGACTTGAAGATGAAAACCTCCTATTGGAGACTCATGCGAAAAACACAACGGTTTCCAGTTTCCATTATGAGGTAGCTTGGAGGTCATGGGCTCGAGATCATCCCCACCCACTATGCGAAATGGATAAAACAAGCTATATATATAGCTATATATATATATATATATATATATATATATGTTGACCACTGTTGGAGGCACCACTATGACACACACGTGGATTCGATCCCCGCGCCCACGGCCCACCAAGCCTTCCATCACCCCGGAAGGCCGCAAATTGGTACCAGACTTATCTGGGAGGATAGCGGCACTGGCTCGATACATCGCTAGGCCACCGCGAGTCATTGTGAAAGGCCAGAAATACATTCAATCACCTCCGACGATACTTTGTGAAGTCGAATGCATGGCGCATCTCTCAGCGATTGATCAACGCCGAGATCATTATTCTATTTATATATATGTATATGTATATGCTCCTCTCTTCCCACACTTCGCATACAAAGAGGGCGCTTGCGAGAAATATGTTTCGAACACCCATCTCTGTGTACACGAAGAGGAAACTAAAGGAGGAATCGGGCAACTTGCTTCGGCAAATAGCCATCACTAATGACTACGAAATAGTAACTCAACGAAATAAGTTTAGAAGGAAAGCGACCCCCCCCTCCCCGAAAACAAAAGACTGGCCAAAACAAAACCCCATTTATTTTGCATTTTGCTAGCGATAGAGTAAGGGTAGCTAGCAAACAACCCTTAAGAATGACAGCTCTAGAGGAGTCAGTTGCGATAGTAGAAACACTGCCGAGTACTATTCGTCGTCAGTTAGTTCGCAACAGCCTATATGCCCGTCTATGTAAGACAGAATCGCGTAACTTGCAATTACGGCAGGGACGGTGACTGCATGAGTTCAGGTGCGGTATACCTGATCTCTTGTAATACTTGCGGCGATTAATATATTGGCTAACCGAGCAGACCTTTATGTATCCGTACAAAAGCGAAGACGATTTTAGTACAAAAGTCACTACGCTCGCAAAGGATGCCAAAACACCAACGCGCAAACTTGAAACTTTCTGGATAAATGCTAAGTATCCGAGAATGAACAGCAGGTAAGAACGTCCACAGATAACACGTGATCTCGTTCCGCACCTTCGCATCGATTGCTGATTTGGAGTGGTGCACTCATCGACCATATGCGACTCTTATCAACCGTGATTCCTCAGTGGAGAGTATGCAAAAACGGTGATTTTTTCGAGAAGCTGTTGATCATGTGATAGCCATTTAAATTTTCATCTTTGTGTTTGTGTTATTGAGGCGTTTAGCGTAGTAAATTCCGAATCAATATACCTTTCCAGACTCTGAAGAAAGAGATACTGCCGAAACGTCAGCTTTAAAGAAATAAAGAATAGGGTGACACCTCATGTTTGCTCAACAAGAATATCAAGGACAGGCTGTACAATTTTTTTAAAGAGTCCGGCATTGATCAGTCCTTCACGGAATTTGCCTACACATCCGATTCTTTAAGCTTAGAGGCGATTAAATGCATATGTGGCCCATATTATGACTTGTAGAAGACTATCGCTGTATCAAGTCAGTGCTTTTAGCCTCAAAAACATGGTGCAAATTCACCGAATTCGGAGCGATTGTGGATTTGGTGAGTACAAGGCGCAGCCTAGGATTCAACCGACACGTAACGCACCTCTAACCACTGCACTACATGCACCCCACCTTGTATGATGTGGAAACTTGTACCTTTCTCAAATTTGGATCGGTCAGCAAATGCGATCTGAGTAAAGAATATGTCGCTTATGTTTGATTGTCTCCTATGGAATATGAATATTTCGAGCTTTCTTATATGAGTGATTTGGATAGAAAGTACGAACAGAACGAAAGAATTGGTATTTTCGCGAACAAATTTTTGATCCTCAGCGCTAAGTGCGCATTAACGCTGTACTATGGTACAAGCACAATACTACGAAGATAATAAGAGAATAAAAATTGGTAAGAGAACGGAAAGGGAGCGGGTGACGCACTGGTAATGGTCCCGTTCATTATGCGAACGGCCCAACCTACCCAACCGCTGGTTCGACCCATTACAGGCTCACCAAGTCCCACATCCATCCAGGTCGGAAAATTAGTTCCAGACTTGTCTGGAACCAACTGACTCTCTTTACTCTATGTGGAAACGCACCACTACGGATATCTTAGGATTTCAAGGAGAAATGACCCGGCCAGCATTCACTGGCATCCATGACGAAAGGAAAACCGTCAAGCAGTAGCCGAAGATACACACAATAAAAGTTCGAAGATCTTCGTGGATGATGGATGCGAGGAAACGAATCGAGTGCAAGAAGTTGTGGTATTCAGAACAGTGTTGATATAAGTGATTATAGTGACGGTCATGTAATAAAAAGAAAACTTGGACATTAACGTTGTATTTCTTGTAATTTTAACCTTTTCGAAATTCTCGTAATGTTGCCCACTGCTAACAACCTCGAATTCTCACAACATGAATCGAGTATGATAATGCTATGCTTCTGCTATGACCATAGGAAAAATAGACAACGGATAAAGCCTTCAGCGTTGATAAATCCTAACGTATGCGCCATGCATTCGACTTCATTATGCATCGTTTGGAGGTGATTAAATGCATATCTGGCCTTTAGAATTACTTGCGGTGGCCTACTGATGTATCGAGCCAGTGCTGCTACCCTCCCAAACAAGTCTGATACCAATTTGTCGGCCTCCGAAAAATGGAAGGCTTGGTGAGCCTGGGCGCGTGGATCGATCCCATGTGTATTGCATAGCCCCTCCGACCACTGCGCTACACGTACCCTATCCACCATACACAGATGATATAGCAAAAATAGCCCACTTCAAAGAAACACTGTAGCGCGATGTTACAAGAAAAAATACCTGTAATAAAAAAGCGTGGGAACAGTAAGTACAGCGAATATTAAGGTGTTATAACTTAGGTAAAAATATTTCACTCCACGAGTAGGTCCACACTACGCCTAAGCTTTTATCGTCAACATGGGCAATGTACAGCATCAATATGAGTTGAAAGCTGCCGAAATTTTCGGAGTTTGTGGAATCATGGAAACATTTCCGATACCGAATTGATGAACTAATCGCTTTCAGAAATAGTTGTTTCGATACTTTAAAAGTGAAGAAAACAAGACCGGAAGAGTACGTTGAGCGCGCCATAATTTCGTTCTTCCATCTTTTGAAGATCATTAGCGAAACATGTGGAGAAACGTTGTCGTCTAGCAATACGGTGCTCGTACGAATAACCGAGCACATGCTTTAATTTCGTATTCATTGCACTTTATAGACTATGGCACAAATCTTACGCAGTAATAGCTTCATTAAAGTGAAAAAACTGTATTATTTATGAACCATCAAAATTATCAATTGTACGCATATAGCATTCCCTGTTTTTGTATAAAATATCTTTTCTTTCTTTTTAACAATCACTTCAATTCTTTCAAGGAAGAAACTGTGCCGTTGAACCCATCACAGTACACCTGCATCATCATAGCTAATCGGAAACCACCTGCCAAGATTTCTGACTTTCTCCAACGACTTCAAGTATTTAGAAACAGCCGTATTTCTACATTTAAAAAATTCACTTTCGAGGTTATGAAACAAATTTATCCCTGCCAACATTTTGCCTGCCCTTTCCTTGTCTTTGCACGATTTATTTTCAGTTCGAAACTTCTGGCACCTCTTCACCATCGGTCTGGCTGCTGCATAAATTCTTGCGTAACGAATCTCTGCCTACACTTTTAGCTGCTTCCATAATCTTATAACCTATTCTCAACCAATGGAAGACAACCAATTAAAAAGCTGCTTTGGAAAGGCTAAAAAAGTGCCAAGTAACTTTGAAAAGCACAAGAATGCCACATAAAGACCTATTCCACTATGCGCACACAAAGATTTCTAATGAAAAGAAATCGACCGATTAAAAAGTTTGCCCTTTAAAATTCTCACAATAAAAGTAACAATGGTTCTTTTAAAGATAATCCAACATAAATAAGAGATGGTGGCCAAAACGATTCCATTTCTGACTTTTTGGATTTTCCACTTCCTTTTCAAGCAGTTTCATTTTTTGGTGCCTGAATTGAACAGCATCTTAAAGCACAGATTTTGTTCTGCTATTTTTGATATTTAACTTACATCCGGACTTGCATAACTATGTGGAAAAGCGATAAAAGAAAATTTTAAAAAGAGAAGAACAGCACTTATGGCTGAAGCTACCCACCCAGTGAAAAACATTTCCAAAGCCAACCGAAAAATCGACAATTATAAGACCAAGGTGACGGCACTCCAACACCCAGACGGAATAGTTGCAGCTTCCAGCAAGACAATGGAGAAAATCATCCACGATTACAACTTGGACCTCCTCAATAGCTACCTCCTATTGTTCTCATATGAAATAAGAGAGAATGGATATGTCGTCCCACCGGTTCTCCCTTCCGAAATGCGATACTGTATTTCGATGGTGGATAATCAAACAACACCAGGTTCGAACAAGATAGGATCAGATCACCTGAAAAACCCTCCATTTCTTACAAAAACACTGGCTGGTCTCTCCACGTGTCACCTGTCAGAATGCAAGGCTCCTACTCAGAAGATTATCAAGACCGTGTTATTGATCAAAAAGGGTGGCCTCCAGAATTTCTATAAACCCTCCACTTGAATCGTCCTGAGCACGACTGACAAGACACTAAATGAAGGACAGCCATGTGGGAAAGCAAGGTTTCTAAAAGGATTCAGTACCATGAACCACACCGACATGGTAACAAGATTTATTGAAGTATCGCGAAAGTACAAAAGACTGTCTCACTTTCATTGATTCAAGGAAAGCTTTTGACCTAGTTAAAATGGAAGCTGTCACAGAAGCCAGGATCACTTTACTCAATGTATAAAGCATCTTCCCACTCTACATATGGTCAATGTAAAAGGATGGGTTAGACAAGCTGTTCCCATCTTATCAAAATTATTTACTATGATCCTCCAGATCATCATGCGAACATTGGATTGGGACAAAATGGGAGTGAAAGTCGATGGTCGGCAATTACGCCATCTTCGCTTTGCTGATGACATAGCTCTAAAAATACCAGGAATTAGCCAGGCAAAACGAGTACTAGCCGACTTTGACAGCGCTTGTACAAAGATCGATTTTCGACGAAATCTCACAAAGACGATGTTCATGAAGAACGGATTGGTTTAGAACGTGAAGAGAACCAAAAGCACCTAACTCCGTGCACACCTTTTCGACTCCATGATTCTCCGTGCCTTAACGTCTGCGTCAGAAACCTAGTCCCTATGCAGGCAGCATGAAAGGCCACTCAGCGTTATACAATGCGTAGTCGAAAGGACCTTTTAAGAGTATTCCGCATCACTCAATTTGGAGCTCCGACCTATGTTAACGATCAAAAATCGGAGAACCCGTTCTATACTGGAAATTTTCGAGGACCAGGTGGGCCAGGCTCGTAATGTGTCTAAACGGCAACTAGTGCACAAGAATAGTTAGTGAGTAGATTGCTCGGGATGTCAAACGCACAGAAAGAAGATCACCGAGTAGGTAATCCGAATTTTTTAGGAAAACCGCTGGTGCGGGTAAAACTATGCAAGGTTTACTGGCGCCTGTCCAATTCACTCAACGATTAACGAGACAATAATTGACATATATACATAAATACTCAGTTATTCATTTATTTACATACATATATATGTATACATATTGAAGTGGCACCGCATGATCTTTTAAGGTTTTCGTACCCCACTCTCCACTCATACTTAGGTATTATCAATAGCCAATTGAGAGGATAATTCCTCCTCGTATAACTTTGATTACTAATATTCACTACTACACATCCAATATTTTAATAATTTTCCTTTTTAGCTTCCACCCACTTGTCAACAAATTTCGTTTTTTCTTTCAATATTTCTCTTGTAACATTCTTTTTCTCGGTTTTCACGAAGTAACCCTGCCATTGCTTGGAGAATCACATCGTTTCATATAAGTCACATAGAAAACATGATGTGTACACCTAGATGACCCAGAAACAGAAAGAAATGTAGCATCTGCCATATTAACACGGACATTTTCCGTGAACGTCGACTTTAGGAATGAGGAAAAATTACCAGTAGCAGCGCCGTCATTTGAAGTGGTAGCGTTTGATGTACTTGGCTCAATGACAACCACATCAGGATCATCTTGGGAGGAAGTGGTCTAAAAAAGCACTGTTCAAAGCAGAACGAAGGCCTCACTACGAGAAACAATGTTTATAATATAGAGTTCTTTTTTGTGTTTGTTTCCCCTGATTATACTACTCTCTCACTCAGACGTACAAATCCACCTACAACAAATAATACAATTAACGGAGAACAGGTGCTAAAGATGCTTTATTCAGCAATGATAATCACAGCATAGCTCTATGGGAACAATAATGCTAAAGGACATTGCTATCACAGCATGCAATCATCACCAAATACCGAACGAAACACGACAAGAAATGGAAGGCGTAGAACCAACGCGCTTCGAATGTGCCACATTCCGCGGATTCAATAAATGCTATTTTTACATAGATGTTGCACAAATGAGTTCCCAAAACTGCTACGAGCAAATGACTTAGAGTTAAACGAGATTTTCACGAGTAAAACAAAATGTTACAGATCGCTAATCTATTAAAAAGGTTTAAACGCTAAATAAACGAAAAAAGGGAAAGAAAAGACATTTTAAAAAGGAAACCCGATGTCAATTGAACGCCTAAAGTTTCATGCGAGCAAATAACAGCGTTTTAATACCTGATTAGTGAGATTATGCGAGCAGATGTTAAAACCAGACATGGATGTCTCATTTTTGAACATTCCTTTGGGCGAACGGGCTTTTTGCCAGAATGCGTGACGACGACGATGGAGAAGTTTTGATTGCAATTACCTGAATTTCGTCGGACGACGACGATCTAACAGGCAAAATCGGCTTATAGGGAGTAGTCGGATTTGTTTTTGCCGCAACCTAGAATAGAAGAAAGCTTTTTTAAGCGACTCATAGAATAGCAAACACCAGTTTTAGATGAGCAATAGAAATTTAACGCCTTAAGACTTTCAAGAAAGACTGCAGTCAACGTAAGAAACGTAGGAGTAAAATTCTTACCGAGTCGTTCACTGGCTTTCCCTTCTTGGCGAGGACAGTTATGCTGAAATTCGAACTGAATAATAAGTACAGTAAGAAATACATTTAACAGAAGCCATGACAATCCCAAAAAACTCAGTAAATTCTGCTTTGGCTTTTATACGCTGTGTATTCTTTCTTTATAACAGCATACGGGGCGCGTGTGGAGCAGTGGTCAGAGGCGCCCTGCAATACGCATGAGCTCGATCCACGCGCCACAGGGTCACCAGGTCTTTTATCCCTCCAGTGTCGCCAAATTGGTACCAGACTTGTCTATGAGGGTAGCAACAACGGCTCTATACATCGGTAAACCACTGCGAGTCATTCTTTAGGCCAGATATACATTCAATCACCACTAACCATGCTCGATGAAGTCGAATGCATGGCGTATCCCTCAGGGATTAATCAACGCCGACAGCCTTATCCTTCTATTTTAACAACATACATTGTGAAACACAACTATAACGATGGCGAAATAATAGTAAAATTTTGCTTGCTCTGCCTTTTTCTGAGCCATGTATTCAGTCCATCGGTGCTATCAGCTGATAGAGTAAAGCATGGCTGAGAGAAAACCATGCAAAATATTGCTCACATCTCTGCATCTTTGAGGTTGTATTTCACTTAGAAACAGTGCCTACTGAAAATGTGAACAAACGAAATCCAGAACAACGCTCAGAAAGAAAGACAAAACGCTTTGAATGAGAATTCACGCATAACACGTGTGACCACTACCAATGTTTCAATTGTCCTCATTGCTTTCAAAATTATCGCAGACAAACATGATTGAGATATTGGTCAACCACACACTTTGTACATACATGAAAACAACTACAGATAAAGATTTTTTAAGAAAAAAAGCAAACTATAGCACAAGACAAGAGTACGAAATCTAGAAAAGAAACTGGAGTCAAACCTGCTCAAGTCAACATTGTCATCTTTCAGCAGCTTTTGAGCACTAGGGCACGCAAGTATAAATGCCTTCTCCGGATTACGTCGAGTGTACTCGATTAACAAACGGCTAAAACATTCTCCATTAGTGAAGTACTACTACTGAACGTAAATAATTCCGCTCAGCAAGTACGAACCTCAATTTAATTTCATTACGAAAGTACGGAAAGATTTCCTTCGCAAACACTGTGAAGATGCTATCAGCCAACTTCGCATAGCTGTCAGAGCCGAGTAGTACAGACCAGTAAAGATCTAGCTGTGCCTTTAACGCGTTCCTAAGAAAACAAGTTGGAAGAAATTGAGCAAATACGCGTACTTATTCTATAGTATCATTTGACAAAATGCTTCAAATGAAAAAAAAACAGAAACTGACGCTAAATTTTCGGTCCAGAGGAAATCAAATCGCGGTGCAGGTTTTCCAGTTGCAGAGGCACTAAAACACTATCCTAAGAAGACGAACACTGAGAGATGTAGCAAAACAACATTTCGGGCTACTTACACATCACATTTCTTCTTATAAGCCACTTTGCTATTATCGATTGCTGTGGCAATTGCTAAAAAGTGTTTTCAGTCAAGAAAAACACTAAGCGCAAACACACCAATATTAGGTTACTTAAAATGCGAACATAAATAAAAGGTACTAAATTAAAATATAAATATTATCTGAGACTGGGCCATAAAGTTTGAAGCACACATCTGATACTAAATATACTCTACACAGATATATTAAGATTAATGCAGAAAGGGGGCGTGTGGCGTAGTGGTTCCATGCGACCTTGAACACACATTGGCTCAATCCCGGCGCTCAAAGGTCACCAAGCCTTCCATCCCTCCGGGATCGGCAAATTGGTACCAGACTTGTCTGGGAGGATAGCAGGGATTGGTCAACGCCGACAGCTTTATCCTTCTACTTTTTTTAATGTAGAGGTGGTCCTACCTAGCACAAAAAAGCATGAGAGCTGACTAAACACAAACAGAGAAAAGAAAGTATTCAGAATATGCATTCGTTTATTTTGATGCAGAGCTATGCAACAACTAAAAGCCACCCTGATATCTAAACATGAAGCTAGTATATTTCCAAGTATATTTATTGGTAATACTATTATCGATTAATGGCATCAACGATAGTTAATCTCCAAAATGACAAGCAAACCTTGAAGTGTTGTCTGCTTATCCGATTCAAGCCTCTCGGATATTTGTACATGAGTAAGCGCCAATGGACGGCCTCGAGGCGGTATTTTTGCCGTCGCTACCGCTTGGGCAAGGGAAACACGTTTTGTTAGAGAAGATGGAACGGTAGTTGGATTTTTGGACTAAAAACTCTAATTAGACAAAGTACTTAGTGTAACAAAATACAGGTAAAATGTAAACTACCTGGGTACCAACTGCCAGTTCGCTCGAGGCGCCACTTCCACATTTTGTTGTTTTGTTCACATTGGATGTAGTTGGACTAACCCTGGCAATACCGTTTACCGCATTTTTCTTCTCAACAGAAGCCCTCGCATAAACCGATTTCATACTGGAATTGGGAGTTGAAAATTGGAATTTGGAATGGAGGATAATATATGAATTTACCTCTTATCATGCCATTTCAAGAAATCATCATAAGTCATTGTTTCGTTGCCAACTTTCCTCAAAACCTCCTGTAAATCTTCAAGGCGTTCAGTTGAAGGAAGAAGAGCAGCCACATTTGTAACCATGGCCTGAGCAGCCTCAAATAAAAGAAATGATAATTCCATATTTTATTTCAAGGTCCACCACCGCCACTTAAATGACATAGAACCTCAGATAACTCACAAGTTTCTTTTGACCCGTCCATGATTGACTCGCTTTCACCGATGTTGAAGGTTCTGGATTTGAAGCTGTGTTCGTAGGAGTCGACGAAGTTACAGGCGCCGTAGAGGTCTTCACTATAGACGAAGCCGGAGATGATGAAGATGATGTAGACGGCAGCGGCGTAGACTAGAAGAATAAAAACTTCGAAAACGGTCATTAACTGCCTACTAAGCCCACCGCCGAGATATAATTACAAAATTGGAATCATGGCATTGTGAACTTAACAAATTTACAACCATCGCTGATTTCGCAGAGACCAAAAAAACCGTGAATTCGTTCGCGATTTAAACACCTTAAATGCTGGAATTGTCAAGAATAAACTCTCTAGATGTTCCCACGACCGACGTTTTATTAACCTCGTCATTGATCAAATAGTTCTCGATATTTCCGTTGAGCAAACACGAGGTATAACTTTATTCTCCATTCCGTTAAAGCAGACGTTTCGCCAGTATCGCCTTCTTCAGAGTTTGGAAGGGTATACTGATATGCAATTTATTACGCCAAACGCTTCAATAACTCTGTTACTGAAGCGTTTGGGCAGTAAAATGCTTATCAATACACCCAGGCTCTGAGGAAGGTGATACTGCTGAAACGTCAGCTTTAACGGAATAAAGAATAAAGTAGCATCTCTAGATGTTATCATTCCTGATAATAGGTCAAAATTCGACAACCTATCAATCGAATACAGAAAGGGCGGTGAAAAACCTTTGTACGCTACCGAAAAGGACTGACACCATTTGGTGTCATGTGGTCGTCAATGTGTGAATGCAGCACCAAAAGACAAGCTCGATTATAGAAGTAAAGGAATGGATATAATTTTCACACAATAGAACCGGAATTTTTAAAAAAATGTGAACATATTCGTTTGCAAAAAGGATACATATCATTTCATAGAAATATTACCTCCAATACAAAATCGCTTAAAACCTAAAAAATTAAATCTTATGAAGTTGTTGGGGCAAATGGGCAGGCAATCTAAAAATACCAACGGGAACATTACTGCATCCTTTTTCCGCCTGTTCAGCCGTTTCCGTGTTCGAAATACGAGCTTAAAGGCGAAAAGCAAAACGATTTGTGGGTCGAGCAGACAAGAATTTCACTGTGACAGTCATGGAAAATCTATCTTATCATCAAAGATCCGTAGATCTAAAATGTTTCCATTCCATTTGATAAAAATGCTACAAACCAAGATATGGTTGTTTAAAATTGAGAAACGTTGTAATTTTCAACCACCTCGAATTGGAAATTAGTTCACAATGCTCACTCCGATCTAACATCATCGCCCAAGTGTGGGTTCAAACGAACTTACGTCGTATATCCTAAGGCCAGAAGGTATAATTATTTTTGGCAACAAAATGAGTCCTATATGACTCGCATCGTGGGGAGTGCGTTAAGTAAATGAGCAAATGACTCACCGAATTCGACCTAGCAGGTGATGGTGAAACAGCGACGGGATTAGCGCTTATTGTGGATTTGTTAGCAGCTACCATTGGTGTCGTAGTTCCAGCAGTTTTGGTGGTAAGCGACGATTCCAAAGAGATGTTAATAGCTTTAGTTGAGCTGGATGTAGAAATGGTTGAAATTCCTTTCCCGTCGACAGGGGACTTCGGCAAAAACGCCAAATTTGGGGCACCGTTTTTATGCTCCTGAAAATTTCTCGTTGAACAAATTTCACACAAAACTCTTATCGCCACAGGAAAATAAACGCAGAACCAACATCTCTTCGCTTAATGCACCGAGCGTAAAGCGAATTTTTCTGGATGCCACAGTAGTCTGCCAGCGAATGAGCGACGCGTGCCTTCTCATGGACAGAGTACCCGTCTTTTAAGCATTGTTCTTCAATTCTGCAGCAAGTAAAGATATAATAATCATGCACAATTTTTGGAAACAATTTTCAAAGCAAAAACAACAGGATTTTAAACAAGAAAGTAGCAGCTTACGCAATAACCATGTCAACATGGATATTCTGCAGCCGCTTTTTCTGGCCAGGAAGAGCTAAGTTATTCGTGCAACGTTTGAACTCTGCTATCATATTGGACAATGTGTCGGTCATCGGTGCCAAAGGACGCTTCTTCTGCAGTATAACAATATAGAACTATTTATTTAGACAACAACGTAAAAGATTCTACCGGTGAAGATGCTATGCCCGCATTTGAACTGCTTGCATCGCTAGTAGCAGATTCTGGAGCATTCTGAGGACTACGAGTACTATTACATGTTCCCGTCGAGGCTAAGACATCAACTGCTGGTTTCTCAGGTGACTGAAATTATGGAACATCTAGTAGTAACTCCCACGTCCGACTTTCTCCTAACCTCGGCATTGATTGAATAATTCTTTCTACTTCTGTTCAGCAAACACGAGGTGTTACCTTATTTCATTATTTACGTACAAGCTGACGTTTCGGAGGATTTCGCCTTCCTCAGAGCCTGGAATGGTCAAGCTGACTACAATCTACACGGGCCAAACACCGCCATAACCAAAAAGAGAAAATGCTGAACCAAAATTTCAATCACATTGAACACAGAATAGCTTCTTTGCACACTCATCGCTTTCTATTGGGCTTCCACTGAGTACGTTGCGTGAAGACCAACCGCACAGAATTCAAGTGCAAGCGTAATGTGTCCCTTCCATCAGAATAGCAGTCTTATAACACTGCCCAATGTCACGCATGATAATGAGGCATTCTTCCTTGCGGTTCATTTCTGGATTTCTGGAATTAATCCAGAATGCCTCTAGAGTTTTGCGCGCTTGTGTTCTCAATTCTTGCGCGAGGATCGTAACCCCTATTTCGAAATCTCCTCCGTTATGTCTCTGCGCCCTATGCGTGCCTAGTGGTGTATTTGGCTTACGTTTGCCGACTAGGTGTTCTTTTATTTGTACGAAGAGTGGTCTACCCTTTTCGCCAACGTATTAGTCCCCGCAAGCCTTACAAGAGATCAGATAGACTGTAACCGAGCTCATGCAATCACCGTTTCTACCATTGGGACAAATTAAACAATTTTGCGTTGCACATAGACGGTCGTATAGGCGGTAACGAACAAGCTGGTATCTTAGATCACTCGGTGGCATTTCAGTTATCGTCACCGAATTCTCAAGACCGGCCCTTCTTAAACAGCGTTTTATAGCTGCACTTTATTTGAAATGAAGGGCAGTATAAACAAGACCTTATTGTCGCTAGAGTTATCGCTGGGGTACCTGTGGTTTCCTCTACTCTATCACGAGCTACAGTTTCGTAGCCATTAAAAATGGCTATTTGCCGCGCCAAGTTCCGGAACTCCTCTCTTTACTGTCTTCCTGTGCACACGCTGGTCGTGGCAAATAAGAAGGACCAGTCTAGAGAATTCGGTAACGATAATTGAAATGCCACCGAGTGATCTAAGATACCAGCTTGTTCGTTACCGCCTATACAATCGTCTATGTGCAACGCAAAATTGCATAATTTGCTCTAATGGTAGAGACGGTGACTGCATGAGTTCGCGTATAGATCCCTTGTAAAGTGTGCGGGGACGAATACGTTGGCGAAACGGGTAGACCACTCTGCGTACGTATAAAAGAACACCTAGTCGGAAAACGTAAGCCAAATACTCCACTGGGCATGCTTAGGACGCAGAGACATAACGGAGAAGGTTTCGAAGTAGTGGTTACGATCCTCGCGCAAGAATCGAGAACACAAGCGCGCAAAATTCTAGAGGCACTCTGGATTAATTCCAAGAATCCGAAAATGAACCGTAGGGATGAATGCCTCATTATCACGGGTGATACTGGAGAGTATGTAAGCCTGTTATTTTGATTAGATGGGCACAATACGATTCCGTGTAAACTCTGTGCGGTTAGTCTCCACGTGATATATTTAGTGGAAGACTCATAGAAAGCGGTGAGTGTGCAAAGACTGTGCGTTCAATGTTATTGAAATTTTGGTTCAGCATTTTCTCTGTTTGGTTATAGAGGTGTTTGGCCGTGTAGCTTGTAGTCAACTTGACCTTTCCAGGCTCTGAGGAAGGCGAAATCCGCCGAAACGTCAGCTTGTGCGTAAGTAAAGAAATAAAATAACACCTCGTGTTTGCTGAACAGAAGTAGAACGAAATCATAAGGTTTATTCACACCTGGTCGATAAAAAATCCCCGAAATAATGTTTGTGATCAATGATTCAGACAGCTATCACTCGCAGTGATACTTCGCCAATGTGCTGGTTTGCTCTTTTGTTTTTATTTTCTATATAACTCGTCTTCACATCTACAGTGCAAATCCCAGCACCTTTCACATTCATTTCGTTTCCTCGCATCCACCATTCACGAAGATGTTCCAACTTTTACGTGTGCCTCCGGCTGCTGCGTGAGAATTTCCATTTGCGCCTGAATGCCGTAGAATGCTGGTCGAGTCGATTCTCCCTGGAGTCTTGCGATAGCCGGGCTGGAGCTTTCCCATATGAATTGCAGATTTTTTCCTGGAGAAGTCCGGTACTAATTTCCCCACCCCGAAGAAACGACAGGTTTCGTGAGCCCGGAGCTGGACGAACCAGCGCCATGCTCGTGATGACCGACGTCACTACCACTGTGCTAACCTCCCCCTGCTAGTTTGCTTTCATATTCATTATCGGCAGCAACGTCAATTAGCGTTACGTGTCCGAATCTTGAGGCTGATAGCAAGGAACGTTAACAGTTGCGTTTGATTCGGGGAAAAAAATCAACTACTTAAGCTAAAAATCGGAATTTGAAGGGAAATTAGAAGCACTTCCAAAAAACAAGGGCTGAAAGTTCAGCAAAGTATTTGGACATGGCAGGTGAATTTAAACCGAATTTTTTTCTCAGACTTTCAAATCTCAGGTGCCGATCAGCTGCGTATATGCTAAAGGTGGTGGACGAATCAAAGGGCAGCAGCACCATTTTTCCTTTGCAAAACTACAAAATCTATTGCACCAGAAAAACAAACTAAAACCAATTAGTAATGATAGAAATATAGGATTGTTCTCCTTCAAGTTTTCAATGATAACCCCATGGGTTTTCAGCGGAAAAAATGACAAAAGGTTAATAAACAAGATCTCTTGACAGAAATGAATTCAAGAATCCCTAAGTTTCGATATTTCTAACTCATATGTTTTTATTCGTAGGTGAACGAAGCGCAGCGATTGTATGCGCGGTTCAATAATAAGCGCATGGACCACTGGTTCGCTCCCAGTACATGTAAACCAAGCGTTCTATCCCTGCAAGGTCCGCAAATTGGCACTCGAATTGCCTGACGAAATACACCGTCTGATTCAGAAAAACTGGCTGTCCCATGACAAACACTTGAGAACGCTTTAGTAGAGCCATACCAGAATTTAAGGAAGAAATTTAGCCGATCAGCAGCCAAATCCATTTTACGAAGAACGAGGAGTGGTCAAGTAGCAGCCGAATGTACATGCAAACCTGTATACTTTCGTGGATAAGGTGAGAAAATGAGAGAATAGGAGGAGTGCTGCGAACCGGACAGCCTCTAGTAATATGAACCACTCAAAGTGCTTTATTAAACTTCAACGAACCTTGTTGGTTAGTGATAATGAAGCCGTTCCGGTTTCAACTTTATCATTATTTTTAGGCACGATAGCTTCACCAGATATTGTTCGAGGGAAACCTGGCACTTCGTTCTCCTTACGAGGGGTACTAAAATTGAATTGCATATTGAAATAAAAAGAAATAGTAGATAGACTTACAGCTTTTGAAGAACCTTCCTTTTCAATATGGTCGGCGGCATTCCAACAAGACGTTTCTTGATGGCATTGGCGGCACGCTGATTTGCGGATTCACCCAGGGCAATCCTCTTAAACAAACCAAACGAGAAATTTTTGCAGTTGTTTTGTAAGGATACCAAAGATCGCCAAACAAACCCGAACTTTCGAAGGTGGTGCACCAACCATTCGTGGTTTTAGATTTGTAGGAATCGAAACCGGAGTATCAGAAACAGTTTTGTCGTCGTTTGCACTACCCGCGACAGGAGGAACAACGTCTTCATCAACTTCTACTTCGTCCTCGCTCAATGTCTGCGATCGTTTCTGAAATGAATTCCATTTAACCTTCAGTGCCGTTGGCTTAGCCTTAAAAAAGTACGTTCAGAAAAAGGATTTTAAGCACGACAGAAAGAGAAGTCACTCACAGTGCCCTTCTTCGGCTGCGGTGTATCGTCTGAATCAGAAATATCCGAATCATTTATTTCCTCATGCTTTGTTTTGAATTCCAATTTTCCCCGATTCACATAGAAGCCTCCCTGGACGGTGTCCATGGTAGACGGGATGAGCTCGTCATACTGCAAATAAAGTAATTCGTAAACATCCTTGAACATGGACTAATCTTTGTATATATGCGAGCCCCATTCTTTCATGTTACACTTGTACTTACCGCTTCTGAATCGTCAATGAAGTCGTCGTCTAAATCGTAACCTGCCCGCTTATCCATGTAATCATCTTCAGTTCCAAAACAAAGCTTCCGTCCTTTTTTATCCTTTTTACCTCCCTGAAATTCATATCACTTCAAATTCCACTAATTCTTCGATACGAGCTAAACACTCCATATGGTGGGGAACGCTTACAGATTTTAATTCTTCGTTCACATCATTTCAACACAGCTATCAAAAAATTGGAGCAGTTACCATTGGAACCCAACACATAATGAGAATAAAAGAAGATGAACCTACGTATTTAGCTTCCAACCGTTTCACTATCTCTAGAGCTTCTCGGTCATGAAACCGTTCATCGTCACCGCTTGAATCGTCTTCGTTCTAATGAAGGGGAAAACATTGTAGAAATCTATATGCAGAGGAAAATCACCTAAGTGAACATATGGCAAACGAAACCCACCAACTGCTTCTTCCTAATCTCCTCGTAGTCGAACTCCGCGTATTTCTTCTTGCCAGGTTTGAAGAGTGACAATTCCACTATGGAGTACTTACTCTTGGCATTTTGCTTCTTTTTATTTCCCCCAAGATCTAATGCCATTCTGAGACAAAATCTTTTGAAGATGTGCCTGGAAAAATCGGAGCATTAATGACGAAAAAAATCGATACTCTCTAACGTTGGCTATGGTACAACTGTAGGAAGGGCCACGGACCCCAGTAGATTTGCTTGACTGTTCTGGAAATAATTCAGACGAAGTCGAGATGAGTCGGCAAGGCATACGCCTACCCGAAATGCGGGTGTAAACGTCAAAATGAGAATTTACTACTTTTGGTACGTAGCTAAATCCTCCTTCGTTCACTGAGTATCAGACGCTGACATGCTGTAAAGCGGCGCCGAGTGACGTCATAGTGGTCAGCATTCGTAGCGGCCGTTCGGTGATCAATCGATTGTGGAGTCATTCAAGCTGATCCTCATTCTCCTGCTGAGACTTATCCCCAGTTGTCCGTCCATCTGTATGCGATCTGTATCCACTACGCTACATCAGGCCTCTATTCACAAATCACCAGCTGCCTTCGCTTGCACTGATGACCATCGGTCCCATACATCTTTTTGTTAAAAGTAGTCCCATTCTCTGGCTGTGCAGATGAAGTCTGAGTTGTTTTCTTGGACAAATCCATCGAGGTTTAATTTGATGAGGGTTGGCTGTTATTTCAAGTCCAATTACTATGACGAATACTAGTTTTCTGAAGCAGTCTGATAGTAGAAAAAAAGTAATAGGCTTAATATAACCAACCGAACATTACGAGGTACTGATAGCAATGCGACTGTCTTATGGTTCATAATAATATAAAGTTGTATCATACATACCATGCGGACCATAGTAGCGGCAGAGCAAGACTTCTTCTAGAAACCCATCGTGTTCTCAACCCCTCCGGTCTTCTGGTTCTCGAAGAATTACCGACTGTTCTCGAAGAAGCAACAAGTGACGACATGGAATTGGCCGTAGTCCAAACTGCCCGCCACGCAAGACAAAGCCGGCACCGATCAATTCTGCTCGCCTACGTAGCAAACCGTAGTGAACTTTCGTGGTTTTCTCTTGCTATTACTAACTCTATTATTGCGGTTTTGTCATTGCTGAAGAAGTTATCTGTGATTGGTTCTATCTGCCGAGCGCGCGGAAACGTGATGAAAATGGCTTTTTATGCAAATTTGTGTATGGCCAGAGTTTCCTTCTGCGCTTCACATGTGTCCAGCCATTGTTTGGACCACTATCAGTTTTTGTGCAAAACCCTTCATTTTTTCGTGGAGCGCCAAAATCCAGCATCAACAAATGCCCGATGGCTCTTAGTTTTCGCTGTCAGCACTGTGGACGGCACCTAGTTTTTCACCCATTGCGTTCTGTATGGAACACAATGCGCATTGTCCGTTGTGCACCATCTTTCTTTCAGGAGAAAGCCACCACCTTCAATAACGATGATATTCTGCTCCACTTCATTACAACAAAAGGCACGAGAGTTATGGCAAAAAGGGACTGTGTGGATAATGCAGTGAAATCAATGCAGATTGTCGTTAATCCATTAAGAAAGGAAATCCATTCCGTCCAAGAGAAGTGTAAAACATCTCATAACGACCTCCTTGAAATTTATTGAGTTCACTCGGCGCTTATTTATCGAGTTTTTTGGTATTTCATTAAGTTGGCGTGCCTCACAGTTTTCTTTAATTAATGTGTAACTTCGCCGACAAATTCTTGAAATGTTGTGCGTGGAGCTGCTTTGTGTCGTTCCTGTTTGCAAATAAGGGCGCACGTAGCGCATTGGTTAGAAACCTCCTGGAATATATATAGGTTGGGTTCCGCACCCCGGCCCACCAAGCCCTACAACCCTCCGGAGTCGGCAAATTGGTATCAGACTTGTCTGGGAGGAAAGCAGCAGTGACTTGGTGCAAGCGTAGGTCACAGCGAGTCATTGTATAGGCCAGGTATGAATTCAATAACTTCTAAAGACGTTCGATACATATGTATATGTACATGTATCTATATATATGTATATATATATATATATATGGATACTATGTACATTTAGGTATTTGTGTGTGTACATGCATGCGTATATGTGTACATGCACACATACATATATGTAAATATATATGCATATATATGCACATGCATATATATATATATATATATATATATATGTAACTTCAATGATGCTGAGATATTTGCAAAACTCCGGACCGCAGGTGTATGCGGTGGGGAACGAACGCGCTATTGTCCTTACCGGGGAGTAGCGCACTTTACCACCACACCATCCGGGTCCCTCGTTTTGCCTGTCTCTCAGCTAGTTCTATCGATCTTTCGCCATCAGCAATCACCCGTCAGCGGGATTGATCTGGGAGGCCCAAATCGGCAACGAACCCAGTTAAGTTGAGGCCGCAGTTATAATCACAATTTTAACTTATTATTTACTACCTACTCTCTTTAACGGCAGAGTATACACCCGCTGACGGGTGATTGCTGTCATGAAAGATCGATAGAACTAGCTGAGAAACAGGCAAAACGAAGGACCCGGATGGTGTGGTGGTAAAGTGCGCTACTCCCCGGTAAGGACAATAGCGCGTTCGTTCCCCACCGCATACACCTGCGGTCGGGAGTTTTGCAAATATCTCAGCATCATTGAAGTTATATTTCACAATGTATACCCTGCCATTAAAAAGAGTAGGCAGTAAATAATAAGTTAAAATTATATATATATTATATAGTTGTGTAATATATATTGCTCAGATCTCGGTTGCAATGGGGCCGGCTTCTCCTTTAGAATTTTTGTCTTCTTCATGAATGTCGTTGAATGTTGGTCGAGTTGATTTTTTACGAAGTTTTGAGATATCTTACTGGAGCGCTGAGAGGTCTTAACCAGAGGTATTCGTCGGGCTTTCAGATAGGCGTAAGCTTATCCAAGAGTTGGTCCAGGAGCGGGTCCAATCACGTATAATACACTTATGGTAGGCCATTTCTGGACGATACGCTTTTGGGTCGCCGAAAGGTATAGAACATCCACAAATTAGAGGAATATATAGGCCGATAAAGAATGCCTGGAACTTCCATATATCCCAACCGGGTTTCTTGCTCCTGTAGTTCACAAAACGTCGCATCTTTGGGACGGATCGAATAACCTAAGTGTGCATCATATTTTCTCGTGATTATAACACATTTTGTTATTCGCATCCCCAAAAAATTATTAGATTATAAAGTCTTGACCCGTCATATTTCTTCATTCCCAGAAGATCTTAGCACACAGATGTTTTCCAAATCTAAACCGAAATGATGACTGATCTCTGCCATCTTTCCTCGTTTGCGTACTATTATTTATATTATTGTTCTTACGTGAGCCGCATCGCATATGTATCACACTGTATGATCCTCAAAGGTTTTTAAACCTTTTTTCGTGTGGTTTCAGCTCCTGTTCGGGGTTTTTCTTTCGCCATGAATGTCGTTGAGTTCTGCTCGAGTCGATCCTCCCTGTAATCCTTAGATAGCCGTGATAAGGTGTTCCCTGTTGGATTAGAGGAAGAGGTCTATTTCCAGACGTGTGCCAGTTTCCCGAAGTGTTAAAGGGCTCGTGTTCCCATGGCGGACCTTATTATAGGGCACTGATAAGTCATCAACTAGGTGGCGAGGGCTGGCGGATGTGTTATTCTAATGGGATTTCATGAGCTTTTATCTGCAGGAGATTGTAGAAAAGCCAGGGAGGAGTATTTATGACTGTTAATATATCTGAATTTCTTAGAGAGCATGAGCATACGGTAAGCAGTTTGCAGTAATTCCAACTCGGATTTGGTAATGCTTCATCTATAGGTGAGTAGAGATGTCCTCAGGTGGAATTTCTAGTTATCGTTTTCTCTTCTTTTTTTTCTTCAATTCCACCTTGTTTCTACTAACTGCAATGCGAATAAGCCTCTCACTTTGCGCACATTTCAGGCTTTGTAGGCTACTATTTCGGAAATGCAATAAAACAATTGTATAAAGGTTTTGTTCACCACTCTATAAGTCACTGTATTTTGCTCTTAGATGAAATATCTCGTGTTTCCCAAGACCGGCTTTCTGTTAACCCCGGTATTGATTGATAACTCGATGTTTTTCTTCAATAAGCAGACACGAGGTTATTATAGGATTTATTAGGATACAATAGCTGACGTTTCGGCGGTTTCGCCTTCTTCAGAGCCTGGAAAGGTTAAATTGAGATGCGATCTGCTCAGCCGAACACTTTCATAACCCCAGCAGATAAAACTTAACAAATAAATTTGTATTCGCATAAGAAACAGCTTCATTTAAACATCTACCGTTTATTCGTTGTAAGTACTTAAATTAGTTGATGGATAGCAGCCGCACAGAGTAATACATAGGCGATAACTGTGTCTGTGTCAGGTCACATTGGATTAGCCTGAGGTATGGCGCCAGGTCACGCGTGATGACAAGACACTCTTCGCGGATCTTCTTTGAATCTTTGGAACTGATCCAAAACGCTTCAAGAGTTTTACGCGCTGATGTTTTCGATTGGTGCGTGAGGACAGTGACTCCTACTTCAAAATCTTCTCCGTTATGTCTCTCCATCCCATGCGCGCCTAGTGGAGTGGCCGGTCTAGAGAATTCCGTAAGAGTGATAGAAATACCATCGGACTCTCTAAGACGCCAGCTAGTTCGCAACTGCCTATATGACCGTCTATGTATTACGAAAAACTGCATAATTTGCCCTAACGGTAGAAACGGTGATTGCATGAGTTCGGGTACAGTCTATCTGATCTCTTGTAAAGCGTGCGGGGACGAATACGTTGGCGAGACGGGTAGATCGCTCTGCGTCCGCATAAAAGAACACCTAGTCGGTAAATCTAAATTAAAACCAAACACTCCACTAAGCGCGCATAGGATGCAGGAACACAACGAGAAGATTTTGAAGTGGGAGTCACTATCCTCACGCAGGAATCGAAAACATCAGCGCGTAAAACCCTTGAAGCGTTTTGGATCAATTCTAAAAATCCAAAAATGAACCGCAAGGAGGAGTGTCTTGTCATCACGCGTGACCTGGTGCCATACCTCAGGCTAATCCAATGACCTGAGACAGGCGCAGTTATCGCCCATGCATTACTCTGTGCGACTGCTATCCATCAACTAATTTAAGTGCTTACAACGAATAAACGGTAGGCGTTTAAATAAAGCTGTTTCTTATGCGAATACAAATTTATTAGTTAAGTTTTATCTGCGAGGGTTATGAAAGTGTTTGGCTGAGTAAATCGCATTTCAATTTTACCCTTCCAGGCTCTGAAGAAGGCGAAACGGCCAAAACGTCAGCTATTGTATCCTAATAAATTCTATAATAACAACCTCGTGTCTGCCTGTTGAAGAAAAACATCGAGTTATCGCGTGTTTGTCCAAATACTTTTCGTTGTTCAGCACTTGACGTAATCACCAAAATGTTTTCGATTACAGATCATCATGGGATGGATCTTCTGTCGTTAGTTGTCTCTGCTTGATACGGTAGCGGCATTCTGTCCTGTCTCTTCCAGAATAATTCTGTCTGAGTAAGTAAACCCTTTTAAGATCTGCTTAGGCCGTTTTAGACCCATGAGTTTGAAATTTTTAAAATTACTCTTATGGCGTCTGTTCTTGCATCTTTTAGATTTTCCTTAATTTTTCGTAATTTGTTCCCTCTAACGACGTTGAAATCAAAGTGTCCTATTTCCGAAGATAGTGATTTAGTACAATCATGTCTTTTATTACGTAATGGCCGAAATGCATTGTATGCTATACATGCGTGGTGGGCAAGGTGGACCACTTTTTCTTGCGTTCAGTGCATTTCTTTTTGTACTCAATCGATAGCTTGTCAAATGCAGATGTTATTGTGGGCATAGCCTGTGAAGAACTTTCTACAACCAATCATTTGCAAAAAAACCTTTTTTTGAAGGAATTCATGGACCGGTAATTTGACCAGTAGTTGACTATTATTTCAATTCCAGTAGCCGTGATGAATCATGTCATATGGAAGGTGCCGATAAAAAAAGTGAGTGATAAGGTTCTCGGCGTTGATCAATCCCTTAGAGATAAACCATGCAATCGACTTCATCAAGCATCGTTGGAGCTGATTGAATGCATGTCTTGCCTATGAATTGACTCATGGTGGCCTACCGATTGCCGAATGTTGCTATCATCTCAGAGGTGTGTGATGTCACTTGGTGACCCGGAGGGATGGAGGACTTGATGGTCCTGGGGCGTAGGGATCGATCCTTTATATATTGCAGGGCGCCTCCGACCGCTACACTGCACGCAACCATATATCTACGCCGGGAAGTGCCGATATAAAAGAAATACATTAATGGACTCAACTCAATATGTAAAACACTTCCAAATGTTGGCAGAAATGTGTTTATATGATGGACCACAGCAACATAGAAAATTGTACTAGATATACAATACGTAACCAAAGAGCAGGAGAGTAATGTCTTTTCGGCAATTCTTTTATGACGTGAACACTTCATGTTCTCTGCTTATCCGAAATTTTGGTCCGTTTTCTATGAACTAGCAAGTCGGCAACCAACAATAAATTACACATCGTCGACTGCTGCTACCCACACAGATTTGAGCGTCGTCCGTTGTGTTGAAATGGATGGGGAGCTCTATCCTTATTGCAAACTCAAAGTTAGAGAGAGTTCTTAAGACTTACTGTTGAAACATAATTTTCGCCTATCAGACTACTTTTTTGTGTGATTGATTTCATCTGTAGTAGAGTTTGCCTGTTGGTGAAAAGTAGTCATACTGCAGTTGCGAGTGACACCAGTGACCCAGTTACTGTAAACCCTTTCAATATTGCCCATCTTTCTTTTTATTCCACTGTAGGCTGGCTTTTCACGAGTACACAGTGGGCACTTTTTTGTGCATCGCATTACACATAGTTTTAGACTATGGATTTCTCTTCTGCGGATGTGAATAAGTTAAAAGGTGAGTTTCTGCAAACAGCGGCCGATCTCTTTGAAAGTGTGCTATCGAAACCACCTACACATAACATCGTCGACTTGTGGAAGGAGCACCAACACATCAGAAAAACACTGGAGGAAATCTCCACTAAGCAAGCTTTACTAGGCGACACTGACGTCCGTCTATTAAAACCACGGTTAGTTTCCCACATTTTTTAGAGGTCAGTCACGTTAAAATTGATTTTTGTTCGCGATTACTGTTTGCAAGTGTTTCCTTTGCGATTTAAGATTCCAAGGGAATACTGTTCTTTAGCACTGTCTCGACGAGTCACTTTTATGTGGATCTTTTCGAAATTGCCGGAGTGGCCAATGTGACCTCATTTGTTTTCTTTTCGGTGGTTTATTTTAACACAAAGAACTGTTTTCCAACTGTTCTAGTGATTAATCGGTAGTTACCCAACGCAGACGCTGTGGTGGGCGTGGACCATGAGAGCGTATCCTCTTAAGAGCTTATCATTTAATACTTTTAGAAAAGCTCTTTTTGAACGAGCTCGCTTCGTAGGCGTTGGACTGTTTCGTTTGAAGATAGTCTGCACCATGGAGAATGTTGCTTTTCAGTAGGGAGCAGAGACCTTTGTGATGTACTCGAACATTGAAGTTCGGCACTTAGAAAAGGATTTTCACTGTAAAGTGATGATTAATCATTAAGGGGACATTTTTAAAGCGGCTAGGTGTTCAGAAGTATGCGTCCATTAGTGTTCATCAAGAGAATTTGTCCCTAGAAGGTCATCCGTAAGTGTGCTTCAACAGGGTTTGTCTTTGTCAAGTGTGACCTAGACTACACCGAATTTGATGAAAATGGTTCCCAAAGACTTTGATCATACAGTCTGTAGTTTACTATGTATGTATACGTACACTGAGTCGAAACTCTCCTAGCATCGCCTCCCACCGGTTTACCGCCGCATCGTGATTGGGAGATATTCCTGGGTGTCGGGCTGCGATGTGTAGCAAGGGTATTCATCCTCTCAGCAGGGCCTCCTAAGCTGAGGAGGAAATGGGCGTTTCCATCAGGAAGCCCAGTTAAGAGTAAACGAGTACCAGAATCCACCACCGTCCTAACATCATACTAGTCGCATGGTGGCAAATCTCCCACTGATCCACAAAGTCGGCGACTGCCCGTGGTGGGGGATGACGATCTGGGGCAGACTTTGTCTCGGCTGACTTCGGGACTCCAGGGAACCACAGTGGCTAAATCAGCAAGACTCTGAAAAAGTGGAAATGATGCTAGCGTCCAAACAAACAGTGAAGATGGGGCATCCAAGGATCCAAGCATATGTACGCTCAATTTCAATACCCTACATACCTTACATACGGAAATCTTTCTTTACATACAAACTCCAGTGTTTATAATGGAAACTTCTCATTTTTTGAATTTCTTCCATTGTCTACCCATAATCAAAAAGACTGATGAAAACTCTGGTATACTTGAATAGTAGTTGCCAAAACTACTGTCTCTGAACGAACTAGGCGTTCATCCATGCGTGTCCACATGGTACCTATTGTTTATAACTCTTTACATATATGTGTCTAAATTGATGAGCTTGTATATAGTCTTTTCTCCTTAGGTTATACTCCTTAAATATACTAACCATCGAAAAATCGTCGGATGTTATCAGAAGATAAGCACCGGTCGTTGGACATGGCACAATTTTTTGTTAGCAACTCGTCTCATTTTCAGTCGCCTTCGTGGTTACTGTATGGAAGGAGAGGAGATCAAAACCCTAAAGTTAGCATCGTAATATTTTTTTGTAGAGAATTTACACAACTTCATCAGATGGTGACAGCACTTTTTCCTGTGATTGCCCACTGGGCGAGTGTTTTTTCATGACACACAAGAATTTTATGTGTACCAAAAACATGCGAATGTGTATAGAAGAACATAGAGTATGCACAGGATAAGAGAAGCGCGGGAATTCTTTAAAAACACAGAAGAAAACCGATTCTTAGGACGGAAATCAGGATAAAAGAGACGGGGCTAGTAAAAACCTTCGAAGTGGTTGGGGTGACCTTATAGGTTTCACAGTGGGCACGGAAAATTAGGCACTCCGACAGAAAAGTGAGATTAGGTGTCGTCGCGGGAGTGTTAAATTATGTAGCTGATGTTGAGTTTACAGAAAAAGGAACCTTCTTATACGTTAACCTTTTTATTTGCTGCCTATTCTTAATGGCAAGGTATGTTGCGAAATATAACTCTACTTAGTAATTCCTTCTACTTCTGTTCAGCAAATACGAGGTGCAATTTTATTTCTTTATTTACGTACAAGCTGACGTTTCGGCGGATTTCGCCTTCTTTCTATTAAGTAAGTAACATACTCTGCAATTAAAAAGAATGAGCAGTTAATAAAAAGGTTAAGATTGTGATTATAACTATAGCCTCAGCTTAAATGGGTTCAATACCGATTTGGTCTCCTCAGATCGATTCCGTTGACGGGTTATTGTGATGGCAGTGATCGATAGAACTAGCTGAGAGATAGGCGAAACGAAGGACCCGCATGGTGTGGTGGTGAACGCGTTACTCCCCGGAAAGGACAATAGCGCGTTCGTTCCCCACCGCGGACATCTGCTCTTTGGAGTTTTGCAAATATCTTCTCATATGGCTGTTTTTCATGTGTTAAGTTAAGTTCATCGGACGATCTTGCATGCTTTCTGAGATGGGCAGACGGTATGGGTATTAAACGCTATGGTGTTACTGTGGCTGAATGCCGTGAAGTGGGTGGATTGGGATTGTTGGCTGAGATGTGAGTCAACAAAGTGTTTATGTATTGCAGGTTTATTTTCTTTCGTAATATAATTTTTTTCAGAGACGTCCCTGAAAAAGAGTGTTGTTTGACGGTTCCTCGTCATGCTATTATTTCTACTGATCTTGCCAAGAAGTCATCCCTAAAGTTTGTGTTGACTGTTTCCAAAAATTAACTTCAGGCCATTATCAGAGATACAGGAATGGCATGTTGAAATTCTGACAGACATGTAGCGCAGTTGCTAGAATTCACTGTTTTCTTGATGAACCAACACGAGGTTGTTATTACACTATTTATGCGCAGTAATTGACGCCTGTTTCGCCTTGTTCAGAGTCTGGAAAGTCTTCTTCTGCTTGAGTTATGAAAGTGTTTGGCTGAACTGTGTGCGTGTCATTCTGACCTTTCTACGTTATGAAGTATTCGTAACCGCCGAAGCGTCTGGTATTGTGAATAAATGGTGTAACAACAACTTAGCGTCTGTTTATCAGGAAAACAGTGAATTATTGATCAATAAGAAAGAAACTTCCAACGTTAATCGATCGCTGAGGGATGCACTATGCATTGCACTTAATTAATCATCGTTGGAAGTGATTGAATGCATATCTGGCCTTCAAAACGATCCACGGTGGCCCACCGATGTATAGAGCCAGTACTGCTATCGTCCCAGACGACTTCGCTACCAATTTGCCGATCCCGGAAGGATGAAGGCCCCGGTAATCGCTCCTGTGTGTATTGTAGGGCGCCTCCGACCACTGCGCTACACGCGTCCTTATTGGTCGGTACCGAGGTTAATATTAATATGAGTCAGTTCTGGCATTTGCAATTGTTAGAGATTTCTTGCGATACACATATGGTGGTAAGTTCGTTTCCTTACTGTTGGGTAACTGCCTGTCATCCTTGCTGGGTTAGCAAGCTGGTGCGGGACTTGTCTATGAAAATAAAAACTGATTTTTCATTGGCGGACTTCTGCAAACCAATTTGTAGGCCAAATGCGCATTCAGTCTTTACGATGCTGCCTAAAGTCGATTGAATTGCGCTTCTCTAAAGGGTAAATTAGCGCTGAACGCTTTACTCTTTACCAAACTCTTAAGGATTTGTTCTACCACCTTTTCAAGTCAAACTCTGCGATTCAGAAACCTCTTTGAACGAGATTCTATTGTTCGGAATATGGCAAATGTTGGTCTGGCTCTTTTCATATGCACCCAAAGGGTGAAATCTGATTCAAAGTGGACATCATATTTAAATGTTCTGCCGAATGTATATACTACTCCACTATTTTACACAGAAGAAGAACTTCAGGTGACAGTATTTCTATTTGCTCAATCTTCCACTTTCTTGTTTATCGCAGGGAAATTCAGTTTTTTCACAAGTGCAGTGATAATTTTAAATTTCGATTTTTATGGTTTTATAAGGGCGCGTCTAGCGCAGTGGTAGGAGCCCTGCAATACATAGTGGAGAGATCCCAGCGCTCAAGACTCACCAAGCCTTTCACTCCTCTGGAGTCGGCAAATTGATACCAGGCCCGTTTGGGAGGATAGCAGCACCGATTCGACACATCGCTGGACCGTCGCGAGTCATTGTAGAGACCAGATATGCATTCAGTAACTTACAACGATGCTTAATGAAGTTGAACGCATGGCACATACCTCAGGGATCAACGCAGAGAACTTTATCCTTTATTTTTTATAATTTTATAAACGACTTAGTTTTTCTGTGTAAACTGCACCTTTTAGTATTTGAAACCTTCGCCTGTCTTCGAGGAAGCTTTGCTTTTCTATCGAACTGTTGCTCGTCAGTTTATTTACTATTTGCTTTTGATCGGACGCAATGACTTATACGATAGAGCGAGTAGAGTAAGTGATGTTTTGAAATATTTCTACTTCCACTGCATACCTTCTTTCCATCACTATTTTGCGTTTGTTGCTAATCTTCTCTTATAGGCTCGGTAGTTCCTTGATTTCAGAATCGGAAAGCAAGGACGCAGCCTCCTCTCATGTATAGTTCTCCATTTACTGTGGTCAACTTCACATTTTCCCTATACAGGTGGTCTGTGGGAACAGTAACAACACGGATAAATTTGATACCGAGTGAGACGACAAGAGCTGACGGCACCGTAGATATGGTGATTTTTAGTGGAGTTTTAACACTATTTTGTTTTTTTTAATATTCCGTTCATATCACTTTTTGATGATGTTTGTTCACTACTATTTTATCCTTTGCTCTCAATGTCGTTTAGGTTCCTGCTTTGATTCCGATGCTTGACATGGCTAACCATGAAGTGGTTTTGGGAAGTGACGATTTAGGAGACGCTGTATCGTTTTCCACAGAAAATGATTATGCAGAGGTGTGCTCGTTCTGTGCCTCATGGAAGCTATAGAACATTTTATTCTTTAGGTGCTAGCAAGCAAAGATATACGAGCAGGTGAATGGGTGAGTATGTTTTACGGCCGTCGTTCTTGTGCTGAACACTTGCTGCATAACGGTTTCGTACCACCTGATGATAACCCTTTTGACAGCTACAAACTTAAGATCAGTAAGTGTGGTTTTCTTGTCTACTGAAGAATGAAGTTTTCTTTTATGGCCTGAGATAATATATGCGTAATAAATTGTCGAGTCATGTAGTTTGTAATCATATTGAGTGCGGAAGCTTTTGAAGAAGGAATTTTGCTATGCCGAAAAGTCGTGTGTTATCTAGGTCTTGGCAGATCGGACAAAATGTTCAAAGAGAAAAAGAAATTTTTCGTGGGAATGGGATTCAGCGAGAGTTCCAACATCTACATGCACGATATTACTCTTGGTCCTCAGCCGTTTCATCCTTCTTTGGAACACTTTGCCAAAGTTTATGTCGCCGATAATCCCGAGGTGAATTTGATTAGTATTGTGAAATGCAAATATCCAATACTTTTTATACAACTTCTTACTTTTGTGTACTTGTGTACCTTTAGGCAACATCTGAACCAACAACTCTAAGAAAAGCGGTGGATTTCCTTAAAAATCGTTTCGCTATCTTGGAACGTGCTTACGGAACAATAGCAGAAGGAAGGACCTCAAACGAAACTAACATGGAACGTCTGAAAAAGGCTGAAGTTGCCATTCTAAAGAATGCTAGGTAGTAAATATGTTAGCTTCTTTGCCCATAGTGATGTGATGTGATGGAGAAATGACGATTTAAATATAACTTATTCAAAGAGTCATGCTATTTGTTCCTTCTTAGGACCGATTTATATTAACGTCGGCATTGGTCAATAAGTCAGTGTTTTCTTCTTGAGCAGATATGATGCTAATAACAAAATTTGTTTAATACTAGCTGAAATCCTGGCGGTTTCGCCTTCTTAAGAGCCCGGAAAAGTCAAATTGACATGCGAACTAGTGAGGCAAATACTTTCGTAATCCAACCAGAAAAAGCTCTGCATAAGTTTTCTTCCCATAGCAAACAGCTTCTTTTGAACACTTATCGTTTTGTTCTTTACTAGTCTTCCAGTTATTGTTGAAGACTAGTGGCAAAGTCCTACATGGGTCAAGAATATTCCTGGCTCAGGTCAGAAGAATTATAAGCAATTTGTTTTCAGGGCATATTGTGAAGAGTGGGAAAAACGTTTACCAGAGGTCCAGGACATTTGAACTTGTTAGTATATAACCACAATTTATGTCTTTCCTTCCTTATGACATCTGGATTGTTGACTTTCATATTTGTAACACTTTTACTAGCGCATTTTTTTTAGTATTTAAAGAAATGTTTCATATGTCAGAATTACCGTACTTTAAAGGTTTACATTTTCTAGTGTATAGCTCACATTTATGGTGCTACATCTTGAATTTGTACCTCTCCACGTTTACGGAGTTCGTGCTGCTATACTTAGGGTGGTAGTTTGCCTTTAATGTAATTAAAGAGATAAGTTTCCTTTGTTTTCTTTGCTTCTTTAGTAAAATATTTATTGAATGTCGTATGCATAAAACAAATGTGGTCGAGAAGTAAATTTGTTACTGTGACCGAAATTAAAGAAAACAAAAGCCTTTATTACCATAGGCACCCGTAGTGTTTACATGTGAAACGAGATCACGTCAGATGGACTTGATGTGGTTGAATTGGAGCAAAGACACTGTTCGCTCAGGCAACGCTCTCCCTCATGCCTTCGTAGATTTTTGTGTGTTTCTTTGAATTCCACGTGTTGGTGGGCCACACCGCTTCGTCCCTCCATGAATCTAAAGTAGAAGACGAATTTTCTGAAGGTTGCCATCAGGTTTGCGCCGAGAATTGAATTAGCATGGATTGGTGTGTTTAGTTCAATGAGGTACAGTAGCTTCCACCGGCCAACCTCATTTTCATGTGACTACACACTGAAGATAATTGGTCAATAAGATGTCTTTATGTCAGCCACCTAGGCTGAAATATAAAGTGTGGGAGTGAAAATTAGACCTACAACTGCTAGATCTGAAGTGTTGCCGAAGTATGCCGTATAACTTCAAGGAAAGACCAATCCCGTTTACGGGCGATTGCTGATAGCACCTATGAAACACGTCTGAGAAAAAGGCCAAGCGAACGGTCTCCATGGCGTGGTGGTGAACGCGTTAGCGTTCGGGATGGGTATAATGTGTCTATACCGTGTTCGGTACTTACCGCAGACACCAGCGATCAGGATCTTTGGAAATATCTCAGCATCATTATGGTTATATTTCAGATAATACCTTGCCATCAAAAAAGAGTAGGTCGGAAATAAAATATGATGAAATTAAATGAGGTTGTTCTGACCGCTTCTGGCCACTACACGGGCTAAATTGTGGTCCGATGATGAGTCGATGAGCGCATGTCGAGTAGCTCTCGCTCGCGACTTTCTGCTCGATTTGCTTGATCTCCAGCTACCCCCGCAAGGCGGTTCGTAGTCCGCGTGAACCTCAACATCCATTTTTGGGCATCATATTCCTCAATCAAAACAATCCTCGTAATTTCACGATGTTTTCCAGGAGCGAGGTATGCACTGATGCATGCTAAGAAAATATGAATTCGATTAGTATTTTGTCACTTAAGATCGAATCATACGGTAGTATCGAGTTTTCCAAACGAGACTTACCGTTACAACTGGTGTCGGTGATATGAACACACTGATTTCCGATCCACGATATGATATGCTTGCCTGAGTGTTCTCGTCATATGATGGCGGCGACTCCTCGATGACGTTAATGGTGGACGGTTGAGAGCAGCGCGAACCTGAGTGAATAACTTAAACTCAGACCCAATGTCTTCCATCCACTTCCCGTCAGAAAACGGCTGCAGAAAATCACATGAAAACATCATATCCACCCGAATGTCACCTTTGTATATTTGAATGGATTTCAATTCTGCCAGATCAGTAGGTTAGAATTTCATGTCGTGTGTGTTTATTGACAGCTCAAAAAATTCAATACTGTGTACCATTTTGTAAAACATGGCTTCCTCTCATTGTCAAACAATATACGCATCATATCAGAGGTCTGCACTTACCGTAACCCATCGTGCACGAAACGACAATAACTATTTTTAGTTTATTTAAGCACTTATAGGTGTTTGCAAATGTTCACCACCTGCCATCCACGTTAAGCAAGCGTATCATTTAGCTTCCCTCCTCATTCAGTGTTTTTGGAAATTTCTCGATAAAATTTGGAGATTTGCAAATAGGAAACAGATCAATCAATACTGGTGATATCTGTGCCAGCCTTACCTTGATCATGGAAATTTGATGTTCCAACTAAAATAATCACTTTGTCTTGTAATCCTATCGGCTATCACAAAACTGGACGTTGAACACATACGGATTTTCTATGATACTTGCTACCATCACATTTCCAGTGAGAAGACTCTTGGACGATTGGTACACTAACCGATGCTGTTTGTGTCGTTTCTGGTTTTGCCTAGCCATACCCACTCTTTCGAGTCCTCGTCACGTTCGCAACCACTAGATGAAGACGAAAGCCGCGACAGCAGCGGAGCGACCAACTTCTCGTACCTGAATAGCAACTCGACATGACATTCCTCAGCTCTTCTATGTTTTATAGAGCATACTAGGAATTTCTAACAGTTTTATTTTGCCACTTTCATTCTTTAGCCAATTAAATAGATGTTCACTTGTTTCCTCGGATCTAAATCTTTACTACCTGATGTTTTCCTGTATCAGTAATCATCCGTTAATCAACAGTTATCTTTAGCAGAGATCAGTAAGCTTCATTCGCTAACCTGTCCCATCAGAGCTACCCAGTGGTAACTGCATGGTCGAGAGAGTATAACACAAGCATATCCCTGCTATAATGTCCTTTTCTCGCATTGTGTTTGACGAAGCCATGGCCATGGGCATTTTGACAAGTCCGACTGTAGAAATAGGTTCACTCCTAACATATCGTATTCCTTCTCCGGTTGGAAGACTCTGTTGAAGGAACAGGTGGAAATCCGTTCCTCATATATCGATAAGATGGTGTCTGTGATGGGCTTAGAAATAAGATAGCTCAACCATTTTAGAACCCAGAATCCATCGTTTGTTAATCTGCTGGTGTTGAGCCGAATCACATACGGTGCATTGTCTTTTCGGCAGTTCACTTAAAGAACAAGGGTTTCTTGCTCCATTTTTCGTATTTATTCGATGCTTTGTCCACAGCAGAGGCAGGGCGTCCGTCGCCAGGGAAACGCTCTATTCTTTACCTTTTTATTTCTTGCCTACTTTAATTTTTAACGGCAGGGTATCATGTGAAATATAACTAAGATGATTTTGCGATATTTGCAAAACTCCGGACCGCAGGTGTCTGCGGTGGGTAACGAACGCGTTATTGTCCTTTCCGGGGAGTAACGCTATAACCACCACACCATGCGGGTCCTTCGTTTCGCCTGTCACTCAGCTAGTTCTATTAATCGGCGCCATCAGCAATCATCCGTCAACGGGATTGATTGATCTGGGGAGCCTACATCGGCATTGAACCCAGTTAAGCTGAGGCTGCTGATAGCACTGATCGATAGAACTAGCTGAGAGACAGGCGAAGAACCCGCACGGTGTGGTAGCGAACGCGTTGCTTCCCGGAAAGGACAATAACGTGTTCGTTCCCCACCGCAGACACCTGCGGTCCAGAGTTTTGCAAATATCTCAGCATCATCTTAGCTCTATTCTTTGTTTGGAAGTATATAAAAAACCTATATTGCAAGGTACCTCTGACCATTTTGCTATTCACGCTCCTAATATGTAGAACTAAACGAGCGGTTGAAGATCTTAGTGCAATTATTCGACAACTGGCAAGAAATTGAGAGCACACATGGGAACGAGATCGTGTTGTCTTAAATGGCTTGGGAATATGAAAAAGCTTGGTAAGTGGATTCTACCAATATCACGATGTTAGCCTGTCGTAAAAAACGTTGATAAAATGAATTTAAAGCTAAAGAAAGCAAATAGTAAACGATGATAAGATGTCTCCAATGATATAGAGGGCAACTGTCCTAAAAAATATGTTAACGTAACAAGACAAATTCCTTCTGTATAAGTAATCTTTTCAATCTCCATAGATGCAAGGTTTGAAGTCTTCTAGTCAGCAATGCTTCAAATTTCAATGAGGATTTTAAACTTAAATTCTATATTTTGCTGTCTACATTCATGCAAGCATTAAGAATGGTAGTCGGACGTTCAAAAGTCCCACGGAAATGTGGTTCCGTCATGTAGATTCCCTGAGGAGTAAATATTGCAGATTTCGTTACAATGAATGATGAGAATATGTTGACGTGGGCAAATTTCGAGTGTGAATCGGGTCCACAACAGCAGGATTGATTAAAAGCTTGGCCAGAATTGGAGCGAGTACCAAACCGTCAAGCTGGGGTCGCTTTCACCTAGCTAGAACTTCATCGTTTTTCAAATATAGTTTATGAACTTCATGTACATAAAGAATCAAGAGCACTAAAAACTGTACCCCTTGAAGTACGTGGCCTTCTTCGTTAGGAATCGGCTGACTCCAACGAAGAGGACCAGAATGAGGATCACAGCCAGCACCGAATCCATCCTCCAGATTGATGCCACTTCGGGTAGCTGTGGAGACAAGGTTGCTAAAGGAGAATTTCTATTGAGGACACAGTCTCGAATAGGCACTATTACCGAAGTTTTTAAGGTACTGTTTTAAACAAAACAGGTTCGTTTTTCCTAATTAAAAAAGAAATAAATTGACGTGCAAGTATTGAGAACGAAGAAATAATGTAGAACATAATATTACTCCTACCAAAAGCAGATTATGGTTAAACCTTTCGCATTTAATTCCGTATTTCCTTGGTAAGCACACACGAAGCCGTACTTGTACGGCCCGTCCTTACTGGTTACTGATTGTGCTGGCCCCAGCATATTCTTCATTTTTCGGAGTTTTTCTGGTTAAGCTCTTGTAGTGCGCTGAAATCCCAAGGTCAGCCTGGCTAAAGTCTGCCCCAAGTGTTCACCACCACAGACAGTCGCAGCCTTTGTGGATCTGAGAGAGATCTGCCATAATGCGACTAACTTGGTGCTAACACGGTAGTGGATACTGGTATTGGTTTACTCTTAGCTAGCCTTTAGCTGATGGAAACGCCGGACTCCTGCTCATCTCGAGAGAGCCTGAAATGAATCCCTCGTTATACATCGCAGTCCGGCTCTCAGGAACACTTCCCAGCCACGACCAGACGGTAAACCGTTGGGAGGTTTTGTTCACACTAACTAATATCTCGATGGATTTAGCCATTTTCATCTCCTGGAAAGGTCAAGTTAACTGAAACGCAAATACTTCCAGAAGTAATTCCCATGAGAGACGATCTATTAATGTCGGCATTGATCGAACAATTCTTTATATTCTTGTTGAGCAAACATGTTATTTTACTTCCTTATTTAAGCTGATGTTTCGGCGGATTTTGCTTTCCTCAGTGCCTGGAAAGGTCAAGTTGACCGCAATCTACCCAGCAGAACACCTCCATAATCAAACAAAGAAAATGCTAAACCAAGATTTCAATCACGTTGAACAAAGAATAGCTTATTTGCATACTCACGTATTCAGTGGAAGACCCGTAGAAAGAGATGAGTATGCAAAGAAACCATTCTGTGTTCGTTGTGACCGAAATCTTGGTTTAGCATTTTCTCTGCTTGGTAATGGAAGTGTTTGGCTAGGTAGACTGTCGTCAACTTGATCTTTCCAGGCTCTGAGGCAAGCGTAATCCATCTAAACGTCAGCTCGCTCGTAAATAAAGAAGTAAAATAACACCTTCTCTTTGCTAAAAAAGAATATAAAGGACTTCCACAAGTATTCGCTGGTGATCTTGCGTCTACTGACCCATCACTGTTCAAAGTTAGCCTCATACAGAAGGGAAAACGGATAGATTAACATGGTTCCTAACCCTAATACCGACTCGATTGTTGAAACATATTCCAGCCCATCTAACGAATACCCAAATATTCCTGGTTTGTCTATGTAACCTGCGTTCTAACAGCGCGTACGTATTGGAATCCTTTGACGTTATCGCCCTCTACACAAAGGTGTCAAATGACTCCGCTATGAAATCCATCCTCGACCTCCTTATACAACACAAAGAAGCAATAAATATGTATGATTTCTCGATTCAGCAGCTCATGGTCCTCTCAATAGATTGCCTAAGCTGCTCGATCTTCAGATCATACGGGAAGTATTTCGCCCAATGGAACAGCGAATGGCATCAAGCCTTACCATTGCACCTATGTCTAAAATGGAAGCACCAGTAGTCGATCGATATAGAGATGACTGTTTCATGGTCTGCTCCACACAGGAGGTAATGGACAAATGTTTTGAATTGCTAAATCAACAGTCATATCACATAAATTCCACCCGAGAGAGACTAGTGAAAGACTGGCTTCCATTTGTAAACGTTCAAATCAACCTCTCTAAAAACGGCTACTCCACCAAGTGCCACCAAAAGCTAATCAACAAAAACATACTGGTTCACTACTTCTCCTCTCACACACAAAAAGGCGCTTGTAAGAAATATATTTCTAACAGCCACGAGTGTGTTCACAGGAAGAAATCAGAGGAAGGAAACCCTGAACTGAATGCGACAAACAGCCATTTCCAACGGCTATGAAACGGTAGCTCCTCAGGATAGGAGGAGCCACAACCCCATACTGTATCTAGCGCGAATAAGGTCCCATTTCTCTTGTCCTTCATTTGGAAGAAAATAGTTGAAGTTCCTCATGCCTCCACTCCACCGGTTCGATCTGGCTCTTAGTCTTAAATATCTCAGCATCATAGTGGTTTTTATCCCAATGGTCCCCCGTAATCTCTCGCCTAACACGTTAGGCCCCGGAAAGGGTAATCCCATTTCGATCTGCCCTGGAGTCCAAGTTTTGCAAATATCTTAGCATCACAGTCGCTGTATTTCACATGAAACCAAATACTCCACTAACCGCCCGTAAGATGCAGAGAGACGACGGAGAAAATTTCGAAGTAGAGCGACAATCCTCGCAAAGCGGTATTAAATTTCAGCTGCCAAAACTACCGAAGCATTCTGGATAAATTTCAAGAATCCAAAAACGAACTGCAGGGAGGAATAACTCACTATTAAACGTGATGTCATATAATATCTCAGACTGATATTTTAAGCTGAGACGAGCACATTAATGAACTTTGTACGGTTGGTCTTCACGAGGAACAAATACTCGGTGGGAAACGGTAAGTGTGTGAAGCTGTTTTATTTCCGTTGCGATTTAAAAGTAGGTACAGTGGTTTTCTATTGGGATTATGAAGGCTCTGAAGAATGCGAACACTGTCGATACGTTAGCCGTTGTAAATAAGTAATGTTAAACAACTTCATGTATGGCCATCAAGAAAGCAGCGGATTATTTTTCAATGCAAAGTTGGTCTTTGGGATTTTGAATTTGTATGAAATTAATATGAAATAACAGGGAGTGGAAAACAAGGAGATTTCACCATTATTGGAAACACCATTAAAATACTAATAATGTCTATACATTTTGGAGATCCAGAAATCAATGAAAAGATATGCTCACCATTGGTGGCGTATCGCACAGCTGCTAGCCGATTCGAGTCCTGACCATCGAATTGAATCCTAAGCGCCACTTTTAGCGTCGCCAACGGAAGCGCATCGATATCAGTGCAGTGGACAGGTGGACGAAGTTCAAGCTCAACCAGCGGATCGCTTAGATCGTCCAGAGCTGAAAGTCGTTGCATAGCGTTTGTGGATCACTTCACAGCAGTCAGTCAACGCAAACCGATCATGTCGACTCCGTTCTGCGCCTTGTGGGCCAAAGCCAAGACTCGTTCGTCAGAGCTTTGTGATGATAGTATATAATCCGTGATACTGACATCATCGAGAAACTCCACTGTGTCGTCAGAGTAAAACAGTTGATATAGGAAGCTTCCGTGCTAAAGCGAAATACTGGTTGTCAAGATGTGCAAAAGAACTGAACACATAGATTATAATAAATAGAAGCGGCTAGAGTAACGAATAGAACAGTAATACTAACAAAAATGAGTTGGCAATGAAGTTTGGCATTAATGCTGAACCGTTTTCCAATTACACTATACTGCCTCTTGGACTTCACTGCAGTTTCTAGGATTAGCCTCACGTTTGTAAACTTCCTCAAAGGAGGCTAACTGTAGATTACTACCACGGACCACAACAATGCCAAGTGAAAGGAAGATCGACTAACTCGAAATGAATTTTCTCACTCAGTCCCTCACCCGTATTAAGTAACTTAGCTTTTAAAAATCACTTATCAGTATTGGAACATCTTCGGTTTATAATGAAGATGCTATGCTTATAGTGGTGCTTTTTTCATTGGCTAGAGTGTTTTGTTACAGAAAATGTAAACGTAGACATCGATACAATATTTATTGTGAAAAAGCAACACCTTTCCTGTCTTCGCAGTAATCTAAAGCTGTTAAACGTAACCAGAGACGGTGGAAGCTCACCTGATAGCGGTGATGAAATGTGGTGTCGACAGCGACAACGACGTCGTACTGGGAGCGCTTACCGGCAGTCGGTTCGATGTTCACGTTCATCTCGACAACTGGGAGTGCTGCAAGTCGCAGCACGGTCACCATCTCCGTGCTCACCATCATCAACGCGCTGCCCAACTCGATGTTCGGCGTTTGTGCTTTCACTACCACTCTGAACGCACATAAATTCATCGCTGTAGGCCTAGCATCTTGTAGTACAACGCTATAACGCCTGTACTGATGTCTTTTGCACTTAAAAATCCAATGGCAGTTTAGTCCGGTTTGAATTCTTTGGAATTCACTTGCGGATTTTCATCAATAAATCACCTTGCCCAGCTTTTCTATGAGGCATCTTGCTTCAATTCATATTTTCACTACTTCCTAGAGAGTGGATAGTCTGAAAACTTATAGGGAAACTGTAGAAAGATAAAATAATTGACAGACATCGATAAACACTATGCAAGAAGCAGCAGTACTTTCGATCCTGATCGCTTGCAGTAACACCCTTTTCGTTTTTATTTTTCTCCGACCAACTAGTTAAACTACATCTAAATTAATTAGGAAACGGAATGATTTCATATTTATTTGTTTAATCTTCTTTGGGACGATGACACTTATCGATAAACGTGTAAGAATCTCCAATTCCTTGAAATACGATTAGTAGTCATCGCGAAGTACTTCTACCCAAGAATTTTCAACAATCGTACTAGAAAGTGTTATCAGGAAGAAGGATGAGGTGTCGCAAAGAACACTTTATAGACGTAGCCAGCACCTGCAATCAACGACCTAGGAAAAAAACTTACTACAGGAAGAAAATAGGAGGGCCCCTTCAAAGCCTGTTTAGGAGATCACTAATCAAGTTAGGGGTAAATAACAAATAACTTCAGCCGGTTCATTCCGGTCTTTCCGTGAGTTTGGTGCGAAGTGGTTACTGTTCGGTAGCATGCGCAAGGTTATAGTTTCAAATCGTATGGACCAACGAACTTTCCCATCTTTTCGAGGTCGAAAAACTAGTCCCAGATTTGTCAGAGTGAAAACCCTCTCTGATCCATGGCCCAATAGCTGCTAGTGATGAAGGCACGGTAACAGCGTAGCACAGCCATCTGAAGAAAATACAGAGGGAATTTACTCGACTGTCGTCTAATATCTTCCACGAGAAAGAGCAAAATTTTAAAGCAGCACTCGAATTCATAAGAAAATCCGAAGACCATCACGGATAACAGACGCAAGAAAACGAACGGAATAAAGAGTTGCTGGGATCCGTACAATATTTGATGACCGGTCGTGTGAATAAAATCAGGTGAACCTGGTCTTGGCGTTCCCAATCTTTTAGATTAGCCCACTAGCTTACATTTCAACAGCGAATGAAGCATGGGCCATGTAAAGTGAGGGAAGTAGCGTTGTTTCTTCGAAGCGATAGACTTCCTATGACTTTGAAAAAGAGCTCCAACAAGATAGATTAGTGTCGTTAATAACTTTACAACCAAACAACTTGTATCGCACAGATTCTGCCTACGTCTCGAGTGATATTACGCTTTCTCGCTTCTATAAACGAAGGTGGAGAGAAAATGGACGTGCAAAAAATTATGTATAAGATTTCAGTGATGCTTTCATACTATTTAAATATTCACGCATATCTTTTCTGGCCCATTATGACACAATTTTCAAGAACCTCGGCATTGACCTATACCCCACTGTACTGTTGATAAGTTGAGATGCATTTGCTAGGCCAATTTTTATCTCACAATGGAGAAGGATACGGCAGACTCCGTCGTCTCTAGGGAGTACTTCTTTTTTAAGTTGTATGTGAACACTTACGTCCCTTTGTCACAGCTTCTGCTGACTTACCGTGTTTTCCCTGGATGAACCGCTTGAACAAGTATCCTATTTTTGTGGTACTGTACAGTTAATATGGATCGATCGATGCTTATAATGCTGAAATTTAACTCTTAAACTGTCAACTACACTCAGTAGAGAAGAAAGCAAGAAATCTTTCAGAGAAATCACCGCTTCAGAGCTTTAGGCGTCTTCCCAAAAGTTATTCTGAGTACACATACGCGTTTCTTGGAGTTAAGGTTAAAGGTAGGAGACATCTTATCACTGTGGAGACCTCGTTTATTAAAAGAAAATCAATTAGATCTGCAATAGGACAGAAAGCCGATCACGATCGAGTATACCCGATAAGATTTCCCTATTAACAAGATATTAGACAAAATTCATCATCGGAATTTTTAACAGCTTCTTCCAGAATGGAGGTAAGCGTAGCGCAGTGGATAGAATTGCCAAACAGTATACAGCTAGACAATGGTTTCATTATGCCCATCAGGCAAAGCCAGCCCTGCACCATTTTGAGATCTGCAAATTGGTAATAGACATGTCTGAATAAATCAAAATATTGATTTGATACAACCGTAGGCCCTCGCCAGTCACTACGTATTTCAAATACGTCATAGGAATCCATGGGGGCCTTCTAGAGAGATTGATAATCCCGATTTTTATTATCTATCTTTTCAGACTGGCGAGTTTTAAAATTCCATAGATATGGCATATCTCTGTGGTATTTGGTCTATAACTACCTATAGATATCTAGATATCTATAGTATAACACATTTAAATTCAAACATGAATTTCGTGTTCAAAATCCAAAATCCAAAATCTGATGCCGTCGTGCGCATTCAAGTTTCGCTTGCAGTTTGGATTTACTAGAGTACATAAAAGGCTCGCATTCAAGACATCACAACTATGATAAGACGCATATGAAGTCCATCGTACTCTACCGCCCACTACTCCGCCTTTTATTGTGATAGCTTCTTGATATGGGGTTACAGTCAAACCTACACGAAGCATAAGTCACTTTACAAAAATTATGGTATTCCTAGAATGGTGCATATCTGACCTGTCAGCTGCCAATGAAGTCACGTCGAACATCACGTCACGCCGGCCACTGAGGTACATCCGTTCTCCGGTCCGTTCGTCGCTCACTTGAAACGAAGCAAACACTCGAAGCTGCAAAATGACCATTGAATTCGAGAAGAAGTGGAATGGCGAAGTCCGACGGCATACCTCAGTTTGTTGGAAACGATTTCCACATGCGAACTGCTTGGCAGTACCTTTGTAATGCCGGTCACCTTGAAGATTTTTCCAGACAGTGATAGGCCAACCGGAAATCGAGTTCAACACCGCGTCACCGAGCCATAGCTGCAAAGCGAGAGTTTCACGCGTCGTGGACTTTGGTCAAGTGGTTAGCGCGCGTTGTTGTGGTACATACGCAACGGGTTCGATCGCGATCAGAGCACTATGGCAATGACGATTTCCACAGACCTGTACGGATTTAGTGTGAGGAAACGCATTTGAAACAGAGCCAGTGCTTTTTCGATTGAAACTGAAGTCAGGAACTGCTAAGCACTGTGGATGTGGAACCAGCATAGCTTAGTCCATGGATTCGCGCTAATTGCTGGCAAATTTAAGGAATTCATATCGATAGGAAAAAAAATTGAAAGCTGAAGACAATTGTTTAAGGGAAAAACCAGTTTTGGGTGAGTGTAGTTGGTTGAGAAGTTTAAATGAATGACATGAGAACGCATCGGTTATCATTCTAGAATTGTTCCATTCGTCTTAAACGACATCTATTGCATCTTCATAAAAAAATTACTATCTAGTGGGTTCAGCTGTAACTAAGAAGTGCAAGGCATCTTTTTTCTCACCGTAATGGGAAGTTGTGGGTACCAGACGGTGAATGAGACGAACGTGGTCCATTTCTCAAAGTGCATATGCACCTTGATGTTTTGCATACCGCGCAATTCCGATCCATCCACGTAGACCTTAAATACTACGTGGGAATTTGAAAAATGAAAAAAGAAATGGAATCTTGTTAACTGTGTGGGAATTGATGTGGGAGTAACATTAGCTACTGTCCTCCTTCATAGGTTTCTACGGCTTTTTAACAAATATCTTAACTATTTAAGAAAACGAACAAAGATTGATTTCCTATAACATTACCATGGGCGCCGCTCACAGTTGCCACAATTATTTATAGCGGAGTTTTTGTTTGACGAACAGTGGAATGCTCCCATTCACAGTACCTTCTGGTAGTCGTCACATCGCTCCCTCCCGAAGTATCATCTTTGTTTGAAAGCTGATATTTAGGGGTAGGTTTAATTTGCCGTAGCATATTTCACTATATCAAATGCTGTAGGGTTGGCTATGAACGAATTACCTCCAACTAATGGTGTTACTGATTACGCGAGACCGACATGGGAAAGGAAAAAATTATTCTGAGAGTAATGGATATAGTAGGAGATGAGAAAAACAAAAATGATGAGTATAGTGACCAACAGGAAAGGAATAGGACCAAGATAGCTTTGGCGAATGCTCAACTATAGCTTGAAGATTTCATTTCCTCCAAAATAAACGACGTCTAAGAGAACTCGTTGCTGATTTTTTGTCATTGTTCTACACTTCTACACTTTTTTGCGTTTCTATTTCTCGTCTACCTTCTTTGTTCAGCTTACATATTAGGATAAGCATTCCCAAAGTATATTCAAAACGTTTAATCAGTTTTTCCTTAGGTTCTTTTCAGATAAGCTTTCAGATTAGGACTAACTGATGTGCATGTCGGACTAGTCTTGAGGACTCGTGACTCTGCCGAAATGCAGTGCGAATTGACGGTGACGTCGTGAACGACTCCGCCGAGGGAAGCAGTGAACACCCGCATCGACGTCGAGCTCTGCTGGCCGGACAGGGCGCCAGTATTGATGAGATCGATGTTCTAGGAAAGAACGAGAATCAGAAGCTTTCGTTTCGTTATACTTATACGCCGTTATATCCCGAAAGAGTGGTTCACCCAATTATTTTAGCCTAAAATAACGCCAAGTGAAAAGAACCCATACATTTGTCATTTTTGATAAGAAACTATTCCTAATGTTTCTAAAATGGTTAAATGCTTCAGAATTCCATTCTAATTGATCACAACAGCCTTTATGTCAATGCTAAACTAGTAGTTCTTGGTTGTTGCTAGATATTTTCTGTCGAGATCCACAAAACACCTTCAAACTCTCATAATGCGGATGGTAATTTTGGAAGTTGACTTCATGAATAGTTTCTTATTCCCCGTGTTATGACTGAAAGTGTTTCGCATTCCCATATTCCATCAAATGTTTTGTCCCAATGTTCTAATTCGTTGTTATGAATTGCAAGATCGCCCAAGAGCTTCGGACGTTTGCGCGCCAACGTAGTGAACTAGTTCTCAACATTTTTCCCTGGATGCCATTGATCTTAACTTTTTCGCCAAATTCTGATGGAGAAGTTATACAGCAAGCATTCTCCAACTACATTCTTTCAAAGACAGGAAGAACACTAGCAAAGCAAACATTTTATAAGGCGTATCGTTGAGAAAAACAAAACTTCTCGCTCTTATAGGAAAAATAAGGAAAAATAATGCAAAATAAGGTCTGAGCTTAATGCACACATCAGTCTCACGCGGCTCTCTGATCATCATCAACGGCTAGGTCCTTCCGCTTCTCCATAGCACACCGTTACCACCAAAGAGAACAAGACTTTTATGACTGACGTCTTGTCGTCTCATCGGAGCAGAAAGACAGAATTATCATATCCACTGAGATTTCGAGAGAAGAGAAGCTAGCAATTACTCTAATCAAAGCTTATAAGAAGCTGGTTGCACCATGCATGGCTTCTGCCCAACCAAACCCGACAGTTCATCACGTCCATGAAAATTTCTCTTCTTCTCTTCTTCCATCACTTTTAAATCTATAGTTCGTTTTCGATTTATCATCGCTCGAAATTAAAGTTGCAGCTTTACCTTTGCTACGGGAACCAGCGCGTAGATGGAATCCGGAAGAACTCGGAATTTTGTGGCTACTTTATGGATAACCTCCTGAAAGCAATAAACTGATGTGTATGACATGCAAGTGCACATGATGTAGTTGCGATCTAACTATTGTTTTGCGACAAAGTAAACGGGAGTAAATGCCATTTACACAACAATTGTTTTTTACAACTATGATTTTCATTACGTGAACTGTCACTACGGATTCGAATTCGCGAGAATCGAATAACTCGGTCTTCGACGATCGAATTTCTGGCTTTACCAAAACCTTTACAAGAAATTTAAGTTAACTCGGTCTCGTCTAGTATTCCTTAGTTATGGCTGGTAGCAACGTGAACCAAATTCGTCGCATTATTGATGCTTTCCCTGTTTTTTCTGCTTTGCAAAATATCTTATGTCTAAAAAAATATCTAAAAAAAATATGTTGATTTCAACGATGCTGAGATATTTGCAAAATTCCGGACCGCAGGTGTCTGCGGTGGGGAACGAACGCGCTATTGTCCTTTCCGGGGGCTAACGGGTTCACCACCACACCATGCGGATCCTTCGTTTCACCTGTCTCTCAGATAGTTCTATCGATCACTGCCATCAGCAAGCACCCGACAGCGGGATTGATCTGCGGAGCCCAAATCGGCAATGAACTCAGTTAAGTTGAGGCTGTAGTTATAATCGCAATTTCAACATATTATTTACTGCCTACTTCTTCTAGTTTTTAGGTCCGGAGTTCTGCAAATATCTCAGCATCGTTGGAGTTTTCATTGGATTGAAGAAGTTGGATATTTTGCAAAATACCTATCATTGAAAAGAGTAGGCAGTTAATAATAACTTGAAATTATTTATTGATTGTTGCGCGGAAATAAATAAAAGTGAACTTTTTGTGGTCTTAATTTGGAGAAGTATGAGTTCCGTAATGTCATGCTAGAAAAAAACTTATTCTAGGCTGAATAGAAAATTTTAAATGTTAGTGTATAGCATTCTTTAAGTATTCTCTTGTAAGCATTCGATCTTTGACGCCTTTTATTTCGAACATGAAAAGTGTGGGTCTTGGCTTTAAACCAGTCTACTTTTCTTTAACTTTCATTTACTGCCTACTATTCTTTCCAGGTAGGGTATTATGTGAAATGGAATAATCCAGCTTTACTAAAAATTTATATCCAAGAAATTTAGAAATTCGTTTACTAGAAAGACAAGCTCACACCTATGAGGAGTACTAATGTCATCGACTCTCTCTTAGCGTAAAGGCTAATGTTTTCAGTGCTGTGAACATAATTTGTTTTTACAAAAAAAAACTTCCGATCGGTTTACCGCCTCACCGTGGCTGGGAGGTGCTCCTGGGAGTCGGACTGCAATGCACAGCGGTAGGATACCGCCCCATCCCCCAGCAAGGTCTCCCAGACTGAGGGAGTCAGGCGTTTCCATCAGGAAGCCTAGTTAAAAGTAAACCAATACCAGGATCCACCGCTGTCCTGGTATCAAACTAGTCGCACGGTGGCAAATCTCCCTCTGATCCACAAGAGCTGCGACTGCCTGTCGTGGTGAAAACCTGGGGCAGACTTTGGCCAGGCTGACCTCGGGATTCCAGGGAACCACAATGGTTTAACGAGGAAATCTCCAGAAAATGGTGATTATGCTGGCACCGGCACAACCAGCGAGAACTGGCCGTTCAAGTATCAAGTATCAAGTTAAAAAAAAAACTTGGAAATGAATTAGTAGCGAGATACTGCAAGTGCTCGCACCTGAGAGCCGTTGGCACCACTGCGTCGTATTTCCCAATGTAGAACTGCCTGAAACGGAATGAGTTCGGTCGATATCCATCTTCATTCAGCAGGAGGAAAACGATGTAAAACAAGACCTCATCCCCTTCTTCATTTCTCAATAATCTCTTATTCTCGGAAATCGAGCCACGCATTCGAAGCAGAAGAGCGAAAACGTAGCCGTCCCAGCTGAAATGCGTCAAAACTATAACAGTAATCATCAGAGTTTTAATGAAAATACAATCACAGTCCTTGGTGAGCTAAACTGACTTGGTCCTTGTCTATGCGCATAGACTTACATAGATGCTTGTGACTGTGCCAGGAATCCCTTCAAAAACTACGCATTTCTTCTGAGCGAGGCGAAATTCAAGTCACTTATCCCATTAGTCCAAGAGCCATCCAGGAGCATTCTCTCGCCAAGAGCACTAACATAAAAGGCTTTACAGAAACAGTTCGCTGTGCTTCGTGCTTCTCAAACGAACATAGCTCCTTGTATAACTGTTACGTACGACGGGGACTAATGTAGATTTCACCGGTGCCCGTTTAACTCAGTGGTTTTCAACGCTATTACAGGTGATCGTTAATATCATTTCAAAAAAAAATCGAAAAAATATTACTTAACTGGGTGGAATATTAAGGATAGGTTTCATTTTTTGTCCCAATGACAAGTCATAATGTTAAGTTTGTTATTTAATCTACTGTGAACAAAGTGCACCTATCCATTCAGAGTTAGAGAATATATTACTTCTCACGCGTCTTTTGCGTCTTCACAGGATCGACATTGTTTTAATTAAAAAGAATAAGATGCCATTCACACGAGACGACAATCGAATGCACAACGGCTGTTTAATTCTCATAAATGACTACAATCTTCGTTATTTGGCGCAGACTTCCCACTTCTTCCCACAACTTGGACGTGGACGCCGTTGCGTCTTATCGGATTCACTTCGTTCTTTTCGCTTAAAAGAATCGATGTCGTTCTTTAAAAATCGAATTTTGACGGGAAATAAGCGGATGGATAGGCATCGTCGTGTTCGTCCACAAAGTAGAAAGCCACACATGAGAAATTACTTCCCACATTCTTCATATGAGAAAGACGGCCGTCGTAATTATCTCAAGCAAAAGAAAAAAACCGCTTTACCAGCTGAACAGGGAATTTCTTCACGATTAAACACACAACCAGCTTCAAGTTGGTTCTTCGATAACTGCAAATGATTTCCCAATCACTACAGTGTTTGGTGAACTGGCAACTTCACATACTTGAAGAGACATTGCTCTATAATCCCAAGCATAGGTATAGTTTTTAAACATTGGTCCTTCAATTGTAAACATATTAAAAACTATTACTGTCAAAAAATCGAGAATGAAATTGAAATTGTGAGGATCGGACGGGAAAAAAGGCAGCTGCAAACACAAGCGATTGATTGGGGAAGTTTATAGTGCTTTTAATGGAAGAAATTCCGCTTGTTCATTTGTTTTCGTGTTTGAAATACGAGCGCTGACGCTTAGGTTCCAAAAGCCCAAAATTGATTTCGATAGCTTGAAAGAACTTCTACCTTCTAAACTGGGATATGTTGACATTATAAGCGGCCATTATTCTCCCACCGACTGCATGGTAAGCAGTGCACGTCGATGGTTATGTGGTAAAGCCGTCGCGCCAGAACATAATCGTGCAGCTTTTAAGAAAAGACTTTTCCGAAAACGTCAATCCTTGAGAAAAGCAGTTTTTCCTCGCCTGAGTGATTCAAAAGGCTACCAGCCGTTGATCATTTCATGCTAGGTGTAGTCATAGTACTAAGATGTAAAACCAGGAAAATACACGGGCAACACTTTAACACATTCCCTACGGGACGGACATTTTGAAAACCATTGGTAATTTTCCCATAATTGTAGTAATTGAGTAACTGAGTACAGCTTAACAGACTTTCATTACTGAAACTTGCCTTGTTCTATCGCATCAAGGGCTTACATAATATGCCCACAGTATATCCGAAGATCGAGTTCTATTCAACACCGGTGTAAATAATCAATATCCTGTTTTATTGATAAGCTAACAGAAGATTGTTACACAATTGTGAACAAGCTTTTTTCACAAAAAACAAATTACTATCAGTTAAGAACCGTTCTGCATGAAAGAACGCTGCCGTGTGAGGTTAATTCACTCAACATCCACTTCACTGGATTCAACTCGATCGGACGGCGTCGACCCACATGGCAAGGACGAACACCCGCTCTGGACATCCGATTCAAATCATTACAACTCTCGAGAAGGACAGGCCGCCGAAACGCACTAGTCACACTAAGGGCCTAAGTAAGAATCTCATGCTGGGCTATGAATACAATAGTTTATTCTCTACGGTATCACTACACATCTTAGGCTCCTTCAACAACCAATCGTTCAAAAAATTAAATATGACATACAATTTTTCATGATCTTTAGCACAACCGAGACAGTGACCGATGTCAGTAAAACCTTTAAGGAATCCATCGCATTCTGATGGACAAGATTTCAGTTCTTGAATCGGAATCTACTTCGAGTCCTGACTCTCAGCGACAAAAAGCGAAAACATTGTGGACACCAAGAAATTACAAATCAGTTGGTCCCGTTAGGTGATAAAAACAGTAACCTATAGGCAGATATATTTAGATTTTAACGAGTTTTACTTCAATAAATGGGCTTTTGAAGGTGAATAGCAGCAATATTTTCGGTTAGCTCCGCAGCGAAGTCAATTCACATCGTCACAGATGTGCTATAGAAAACATTTCAGGACTTTAGTAATGACTGACAACCTGCTAGTTTTCTTCTTGCGTCTGCAGATGAACGACGTGTAGAAGAGAGGTCGAACGGCCGAAATGACCCTTAGCGACCAAACATCTGATGACAACGGCGAAACGCCGAGGAGGTCGAACCGTGCGTCCAACCACAACCTACAAAGACTTGACATATCCATCAGTGGCACTTGAAATGAAAATGCAAACGAATATCGGAATTAAAGAAAACAACCACGTCGTTGCCTGTTGAAAACGAAAAGCAAGTTGAAAGAGCAACCTTATCAGATATTTGAAACTTCCCTTAAGATTGGTATGGTTCAAGAGGCTAAAACGACACCCACGCGTTCTACTTTTTGGTCCGGGTCGGGCCGGATTGTACATCAAAGTGATTGGTAATAAAGTAAAACCTAGAAGTCTACAAATTCAGGACATTTTTGTAGAAAACCATTTTCTACAGACATTTTCATTTTCAAACCCTCTTTTCAATTTTCACAACCAAAATCTTACCTCATTTCGATTTTCTCCAAAGCTACTTCTGTGGTGTTGTACGAGAAGTGAACGAAAAGTGAATTGAGCGAGTTCAAGGCGAAAGACAAGTTCGCCCGAGATAACAATGAAAGATCCCTGAAAATTTACCACTGGAAAGCCCTTGGACGACTCTTTACCCTGGTATGAAAGAGTAAAAAGAAAAAAAAAACAAAATGAACATGACTAGTCTTTAATAGATAAAACACCGACTTGTCCATCAATTGGCTCCAGAAGTCACAGAAAGGAAGAAATTCACCGTTTCGGCAAATTTGCAAAGCAAAAACGAATCCACCTTTTTTCAGATATATTTTCCGAAATATATTTTTTGAATTGCCCTTCATTCTTTTACCAATAAACACAAAGCCCACACATAGAAAGACGACTTTATGGCTAGAATTCTAGGACAAGCGTTGAAGTAAAACTCACACTTCTCCATCCTTGACGAGAGTGTGTGCTTGAGCATTTTCGATGTATGGCAGAAGATTGAGCGGAGTTTGTGGACGGTCGTAGAACGGCACGTTACATGTCGAAGACACTGTGTGAGACATTGAGAGCATCTACAAGGATAAAGTGAGATGCGGTAGGAGTACGGTGTGTGGAAGGTAAGAAGAGTACCTGGCGAGTCGTTGAATTACGTCCAATGACACCGAACCAGGAATACGGGATCTGTAGTCTAATCAGACAGCTGTGTTTGTTCTCTTCGAATGGTGAGAGATGACATGATGAAGAGACTGCAATAAAGAAATGCACGAAGAGCGCATACACAACAATTAAAATCGGCACTCATTTTAAGTTTATAGAGACTTTTAAGATACGTAGGATCCACGTTTTCGTAAAAAGGAATTGAAATTTTCAACGACATCAAGATCTCAGAGATCCATTCGATTACGAAATTACGACGGCCTATGTTTTCCTTAATTTCGGTGAACCGTTCCCATCTCTTCCGCAAGCACCAATCACTGAAATTACTTTGGGAAAGTTCTCATAGCTCAAAAACTAGGATTTGTCTCCAGATATCAGTTACCGCTTTGGATAACACGACTAATGATTATTGGGCAACGGTCATAGAATGAGTAAGTTTTGAGTAGCTCACAGAAGAAGAGAAAAAATACTTCATAACCCTTTAGACAACGTTATGGCGTTTATATCATGAATACGAAACGATGAACGACATACAAAAAAAGGCATGACTAAGTTGGGAATGGTTATAGATTACGGATGCAAATGACACGAAGCACAAATGTAACTCCCAGCAACAGTAATGAATCTAATAGCCCTAAATGGTGTGTCGTAATTATTAATGTGATCTACTGGCTTCCTCCAGGTACTACAGTGCCCTTGTCAACCTGTCACCAATCAACAATAACTGGTTTTCTCAACGCGATTTTGAGGAATTCCTTGCAGTCATTCTATTATTGTGTGTAGAGAAACTCAAATATCAGCTAGCATTGTAAAAAATTCCAGAGTGGAAAATTTTATTCTGAATTTTCCTCCGCATAACTCACGTATGGATACCTTTCCTTTTCCAAGGTTCTAGGTCGTCCAGAACGCACCTGTATCACCTGCAGTACTAGTGACCTGAACAGTGACGCAGGCGGACTGCTTGAGAAAGGACAGCAACGAAAGGTCAGCAATCGCTAGTACATCGATGTAAGGCCGATCCTGAATTCGAATTATCTTTGACTCCGCTGAATGTTTTTCATGACCTGGCTTCAGGAGGGTGGTTGGATAAAACTACTCACATTTCTTTAATTCTTACGTGAACCCGATGAGGATGATATGGCTTGTATATGGATCATGTATGGGCAAAAATAAAATACTTTGATCTTTCAATGAGTGTTCACTTCTAGGTCAAAGAGATAATATTTGCCTATTACATCATGATTAAACGACAGCTTCGGAACTCCAAAAATCATTCGTTTATTACCGATTTCATTGAGCCTACTAAGCGTTTTCTTAAACACCATATTTCATTGTTAATTATGTTTCTCTACTGTTCAAGCCACCATTCCTCTATATTCACTACTTTTGCCCAGCATTGCCTCTCATGAAGATGTTCGGATAAATTGCGGATAACGACCTTATAGGATATCGGTTAACACTGCTACACCTAAGCAGAATAGCTGGTTGATTACACAACGCAACGACCATCACGCTACTCAGTGCAACTCAGGTGTTGGAATAAAATTTTCTCATTAATAGGAACGACTTTCTATTAACCTCGGCATTAGAATATGAATGCGTCGTTTTCTTGTTCAGCAATCGTGAGGTTGTTATATAGCATACATTTACTTCCATGGAAAAACACAATAAAATACAAAATTAGCTGACGTTTCGGCAGTATCGCCTTCTTCAGAGCCGCCTTTTCGAGACTTCCAATGAGGAAGTTTAGAACAGCTCACTATAGTCGCATATGGTTGATGACTGCACCATCCCACATCAAGAACTGATGCGAACATACGGGGTAAGGTCGCGTATAACCTCTGGGCATTCGTCCCTGCTATTCATTGTAGGGTTTTTGGCATTTATCCAAAAAGCCTCAAGAAGTTTTCGCGCTGGTGTTTTAGTCTCCTGTGCAAGGGTATTGACTTTTACTTCAAAATCGTCTCCGCTATGCTTTTGTATCCTATGCGTGCCTAGTGGGGTACTTTGTCTTAGTTTCCGTTTGCCATCTAGGTGTTCTTTTATACGGATACACAAAGGTCTGCCCGTTTGGCCAGTATATTCATCTCCGCAATTATTACAAGCGATCAGGTATATCGTACCTGAACTCATACAATCATCGTCCCTGCCGTAAGGGCAAATTACTCAATTTGTTGTTTCACACAGACGGTCGTACAGGCGGTAACGAACTAACTGACGACGTAAAGTAGCCGGTGGTATCCAAACTATCTTTGCTTTTCCTTTTTCTTTTTTTTAAAGCATCGTTTAATAGCTAAGCTTTCTTTATCGCTAGTTAACGGAAACATAAACGGGACTTCCTTTTGGCTAAGTGTTTCGCGTGAGCGTGTCGCTTTCCTTCTAAACTTATCTGGTGGGGTTACTATTTCGTAGTCATTGGAGATGGCTATTTGCCGAGCCAAGTCGCGCGATTCTTCCTTTAACTCCCTATTCATGCACAAAGAGGTGGCTGTTCGAAACATGTTTCTCACAAGCGCCCTCTTTGTGTGTGAAGGGTGGGAAGAAAGGAAATGAACGAGGATATTCTTGTTCCTTGGCTTTCGGTACCACTTTGTCATGTAACCGCTACTTGATTATTTGAACATTTAAAAACGGAAGCCAATTTTTTCTCGGTTTCTCCCGGGTGAACCTAATATACTCAGACTGCTCGTTCAATAATTCGAAGCATTTGTCCATCTCCTCCTGTGTAGAGAAGACGACAAAACAATCATCTACATATCTGCAGTAGAATAGTGGCCGAAGGTCAAGAACAGGGGCTTCCTTTAAGAGAACCATTAGCTGTTGGATGGACGAACCATGCATGTTTATTCTTCCTTCATGCTCGACAAGAAGTTCGAAGATGGCTTGCATTGCGAAGTCATTCGACACGTTGGTGTACAGCGCGGTAACATCTCCATCACGTACGCGTTAGTAGGAGACGCGTTACGTAGACGTTCTAGGAACATTTGGGTGATTATCAGGTGAGCTGGAATGTAACTGGGTAAGTATCAGGCTTAAAAATCAGGTTATTCTATCCGTTGGCCTGTCTACACAGCTGATGATCGGTCTAACCTTAAATGATGACGGATTGGTTGACGCAAGACCATCAGGTGATACCAACTTATGTGTTTTAACAGGTAAGCAAAACACAGGACATGTTGGTTTATTGATTTTGAAGTGCGAAATAACCGATGATTTTAAACCTGTAGCCTTTGCCACACTGACCCATTGATTGTTTAGCTTTCGGTATTGACTTTTATATTCCTTTTCAGAGGATGGGCGATAGAGAGTAGCGTCACTAAGATGTTCCTCTGTTATCTCAACATCCAGCTGGACAGGAATAACTACCAACTCTCCCCTTGTCACTAGCAGACAATCTTTTAGTTTTCGAATTTATTAATTCTCTAATTTCTCGCATGCCATAAACCTTCTACCGCAGTAGTGATCAAGAGTGTTGAGAACGCCGTCCGAAAACATGCGGAATTTTATGCCAACTCCATCGTTAGGGTCCTGCTGCCTAAAAAACGTTTTAGGGAAAGGAGATGGTAGTAGTGTCGCCGCCTCTTGGTTTTTATCTCTATTTGATGTTTCTTGTTTGGCCTGATAGCGGAGTCGATTTTGAATCATATGCGACTATAATCAGCTGTTCTAAACTTCCTCATTGGAAGTCACGTAAAAAGCGGTGAGTTTTTCGAGAAGCTGTTGATTATGTAATTACCATGTTCTTCGTCTTCGTCTTTTTGTGTTACTGAAACGTCTGGCCTAGTAGATTGTATATCGGTATACCCTTCCAGACTCTGAAGAAGACGATGCTGCCGAAACGTCAGCTAGTGTTGTATTGTATTGTGTTTTTCTATGGAAGTAAATGTATGCTGTTTAAAAACCTCGCGATTGCTGAACAAGAAAACGACGCATTCTCTCATTAATCTTCATTCTCCCATGAGGTGGCTATGGATGTCTCGGTTCAAATACGAATTCTGCGATATCTTTATGATGTTTCATTTTTTAATGCTCAAGATTAGATGTTTAACTTAATGATTTAGGTACCAAAAAAGCTCCCTCATAATTTTATCACCTGAGCTTCGAAGCACAATCTTCTGCAAAACGGGAATAATTTCTATGTTTCAAAAGACATGAGATGAAATTCCCGATATTTACGAATCGTTTTTCTCATTCACAGCCCTCTGGTGTCATGTTCTGCTTCTCAGTGTTTTAGGACCATCCTCTCTGTTCTTGTAATTTCCTCAAGAGCACGACTGCATTGAAGAAGCTGAACGCCCCTGTCTGCCAAACGAAGCCCATTATCTTCAAAGTCCTCCAAAAAAAAACGAACGTCCATCCTACTGCAGGCCGTTGTGTCTATGAAACATCTATATCTCAATCGATCAGTGTCCATTATGTCACACATTCTAGCTTTAGGCTTTTTTGAAGAACGTCTGGACGTGTAGAGTCGACTTTTCCACCACCTTCACATTTTTTAGACGCTCCTGTTCTTAAAAAAGCAACAAGCATTCCTGTGAATTACTACTGAAGGAATCGCTTGAGAAAACAAATTACCCAAAAAGGAGCAAAACCACATAATCAACATGTAGGAATAGAACATAAAAATATAACATACGAAAAAATTTAAAAAATAGTCGATTTTAAGCCGAGCTAAGCCATAAACACGAATCCAGATGATGGACGGCGCTACCGAAATTCTCACAATGACAGTTATGGAAAAGACAAGAAAGATTTCAGAAATAATCGAATTATTCCATTAATCGGATTAACCCCCAGTAGATATAACTCTTTCAAACATATGACTATCAGAAGATTTATTCAACTTCAACTAAGTTAAACGGCATTTTGCACAATTAAGCCCGTTCAGGCAAGATAGCGAAGAACA